CTTTTTAATACTCTTTTGAGTAGCCTTTTTAATACTCTTTTGAGTAGCCTTTTCAATACTACTTTTAAAGCTCATCTTTTTAATTACTTTGAAGTTCTACTTTTCTTACTGTTTTTTTTAAGATTGAAGAATCTGCAGAATCATAGGCCTACCAGTCACTGTGTGGAACTCTCTTCAATACATTTTGAAAAGAAAGAACATCACTTCTGTCCAGCTTTGTGAAATCTTTATTTTTTAATAATTTCTGATAATATATTGCAAATACTGTAAAAATTAAAATACTGCATATAAAAATTTAAAAATAAATTGTGGAATATCCTTTTAAATTGAATTGTAGGAGATTTACTTGAGATACTTCATTAAAATTACAAATGGACCTTGAAAGATGATAAGAACTTCCAGAGAAGAGGAAAAGATATTAAAACAGAAGTTGGGCAGGGAGAAGACCTCTTGGATGTAATGAAGTGGGGATAAGACCCAGGGCTCCTTGGCATGGTGGGAAAGGAAGAGAGGCCAGGCATTCCAGCACATGGAAGGTTTACATACATTGGTGGGCCCTATAGCTGGCTGAGGCCTCCCAAAGAGTCCCCCATTCCCTGAGGTATCAGGGTTGGGTCGTTAAGTGAAGCAGCAGTCACTTGGGAATCTTGCTTAACAACAACTTTACTCAATGACCAAGACACTGTACCAAGTGTGGTGATAAGTCGAAGTGTATTTTTGTAGGTTTTGGTTATTTGTCTTATCTACTTAATATAATCCTTAATAAAAATATGTAAAAATATTAACAAGTTATACTCACTGGAACAGTGTCTGAATTCAAAACGGAGGTGAGACCCACGGAATCTATCAATGGGAATTGGGAGTTTGATGACTTCTCCCCAGCGAGGGCTATTATTATGATAGAGAACAAACGAATGATACATACTTCTATTTGATTCTCCCGAGCCTAAGCTAATGCAGTCCTAGAAAAAAAGGTACAAGGTAAGAATACTGAAATATTACACTAAACATGATAAAAGATACTAACAACCTCATGTTAACAATGCAAGGATTCTATATATTTTAATTAGTCTATGTTGTGCATGTAGCTCCTATGTCAGACTGTAAATTCACATTCCATAGGAGGGAGGAAGGGAGGGGGGGGCAGAGAAAGGGAGGGGGACAGAGAGAGGGAGACTCTGTCACATGCTCCAGTTCCTTCCTCTGCTGGACAAAGAACACATTCGGTCTTCTGTCTCCAATACAGTCTCTGTGGAAAGCCTGGCATCCCCACAGAGATAGAGTAATTCAGGAATCTTAAGTAAAGGGTAATTTTGCTTTATGTCAGGTGCAAAAGACCAAGTCCACAAATGGAAGTTCAATTAAACTGATTTACTGCTAAAGAAATTTCCCAAAGGTGCTTTTTAAAAGGCACCTAGACTGTTTTATTTTATTACCTTGAAAATGTTTTGCTTCTCATCCAAGAAACTTCGTCAATTCTGACAGAACTTCAGTCAGAACTGAAGAAGTTTCTTGGATGAGAAGCAGAATGTTTTCCAGTAAATAAACTAAGAAAGTACCGTTGTATTTTCAAAGCACCTTTGGGACAACCATGAACTGGATGAGTGAAAATCTCTATAGATATTTATGCACAGAAATCTTTTCAAATAATAGTTGATACCTGGTTAGAATTATGTAAGGATTGGAGTTAGGGCTAACAACAATCAAATGGGTTGGACTTTGTGGGTATGTAACAATTCCAAACTGATCCTCTTTGCACTCTGATGCCAGATTCTGCCATTCCTTCTCCTAAACTTTAGAAAGTTTAGGATGCTGCCATGACAACGTGAGTTTGACACCCCTGTTGTAATAAAACCCTATGAGCATAATCTAAAATGGGTAAAATGGGTGAATACAAAAATTTTAAAATAAAACATTGTCTCAAACCTTCATGGGTGAAAAGATTCTAGTATAATTAGGTAGAAGGCCATTAAAGTGAAGACAAGATTAATTTTCTTAAAAGGAACTGACAATTGATTAAGTATACTGTACTGTAATGTGGATAGAGTGAGGTCTTCAATATTATAATATTTCAGTGATTTCAGCTTTTGGATATAAGAAAAGAGAAGATATAGTTTTGATAATATGCTATGCAATGCAATACCATTTGAAATGTGTGGATTCTTTTGGGAGGGTTAATTAGAGTTCAACGTGCAAATAGTATTGTTTAGTGATTGAAATCCTCATTGAAATTTGACCACAGTGTAAAGTGGGAAAAAAACCATGTTACGGTTCCATGAACATTTTGGTGAAAAGATGGAAAAGTGATAGAATAATACATGAAATGGACCATCTAAAAACACAGTTGGTGCTAGAATATTCTTGGATAGAAAATAGTGCAGATTAAATCATGTGAAAGAATCTTGAATATCAACCAGTGCAATAAGCAATTTTTCTTGCTGAAAAATAAATGTTTCTATTTTTTGCTTTAGTTCATCAGTAATTTAAAATGAAGATTTTATTAAGAATTTCACCCCTTCCACATATAAAAGATTTTGAATTTTAAAGAATTTAAACCCAACGACAGAAATACAAAGTATATAAATATTTACCTTTAGAATCTCTCCATCTGCATAGAGAACATACATAGTTACTTCTATGTTTTTTTGAACACTTTTTCCACCTCTCTCAAAGTCTCCTTTCTCTAAAGTCAGGTACAAATCATTCCGTATATCACCTACATACAAGGAGAAAAAGTGTTTTCAGAAAAGAGCACTTTTGGACAAACCAATATTTTGTTCTGATGAGATTTCAACTCATTCCAATTGTAAAATGAATAGTTAATAAAAATGAACATTTAATATCAGTATTATATTTGATGGCTGTTAGTAATGCTTTATGGAATCTGAAAACAGGATACCAGTTATGAGACAAAGGAGGAGAGGACAGGAGGTAAGTTTTTCAAATTCCTTTTAAATTATCTAGTTAACAAATAAATGGTCAAATCATTCAGGATAGTTCTATTTCCATATTGATAGCTAATTTACAAAGAGTTGTAGATAATACAACAGTTCTAAACAATAAAGTCAGTACTGTAATTTTTATTGCATACATTGTCCGTCTGTAGGACAGGTCTACCCAGCAATTTTTTTCAAGCAACTAAAGTGGTGCTTAAAAGTTTCTGAATCCTTTTGAATTTTCAATATTTCTGCATAAATATAACTCATAGATTATTTATTCACAATATCACAAGTTCTCTAGATAACAAGAACTCAATTAAACAAATATATCAAAAACATTATACTTGAGGAAAATGATTCAAAATTGTGTATTTGTATGTGGCAGAAGTATATGAAATCTAGGATTACCAGTCCTTTTGAAGGAGAAATTTCAATCAAAGGCCTTTCTTACATTGGCAAATACTGTACCACTATTTATGCAACCATCATCAGGAAAACACTGAACCAACTAATGAGACGCCATGAGAAGGTTTCAAGAAGAAAGCCTCTATCCTCCAAAAAGGACATTGCTGCTGTTACATATGCTCCAGTAGCTCCAGTGGGTTATGGTCACTCACACTCCCATAGCTTTGATCAACAGCCATACTCAACCAAATACTTTATATTTATATTTCTTATGGTCACCCATTCCAAAAGATCCTGGGCAGATTACAAGACCAAAATATACACCGAAAACATTAGAAACATAATAAACTACAAGATTAAAAACACCCAAAACACTTTTTAAAAAAAAATTGCAACAGCAATCTCACTTAATTAGGACTGTATTCTAGAAAATATAATTGTGTTATCCTTTTCAATAACATAATCAATAAGCCTTAGTACCTGTATCCATAAGTCAAGTAAAATATAAATGTAGAACTGGATGGCTGAATCTGGAAGAATCTCCTTACTTTGAAGAAAATTTATGTATACTACAATTTCAGTACAAATTGCTATCTATAAAAGGTTTAGACCTGATGTAGTACAGTACATAGAAAAAGGATGTGACGAACACAAATATCAGAAAATAAAAACAATAGTGACATCAATAGGAAACCTAAAACTTGGTTTATAAATATAAAGTGAGATAATAAGAGAGATAGGCTTTGCCCTATTGCCACTCACTGCTCCCAGGATAAAATATATTTTTCATAGTCATAGATAGTATTGAAATGCAATTTCTTCTTGTCTATCTTTGTCCTTTTGCTGCTGGGTATTCCAAGGATATCTCATAACTAAACTGAGCTAGAAATAAAATAATCTATATAGTTTTTCAAGTATTCTTGCCCTTATTTCATAACTTAATTTTCCCCTTTCTTTTCAGAGTAATTTAGGATGCACAGAAGGGGTAGATAATTTTATTCACTAGTATTAGTTTGGCTGGCAAAAACAAAGATGAACACATTACAGTGTTCATCTACAGAATGCCAATCTGGAATTGTGGTATACTCTTGTAACTTTTCCATTCCAGAAGTAATCTCCATAGGAAAGCAAAATACTCTGAAGTGGGAGAAACTACGAATGTCTGAACACAGCTCAGAGAGTAAGTTTAGTCAGAATATCTAAAACGCTGGGTAATGAGAAATGTTTTCTGGCATACACCATCAGCATACCTAGCTTATATTATATTTATGAATTTCAAACATTTAGTGAAAATTATGGGGTAAATTCTGGCGTAAAATGTGAAAAACGGCAAGTAATAAATGGTCAGAACACAATGAAGCAACAGCTTACACCCAACTATCTTCATCTCTGTGCCATTAAGGGGAGAGAAAGAAGGGAAGATAAACAGGGTGCCAATTTAGACAAGAAAGAAAAAATCAAGTTTTATTGACAGTTAAATGTTAAAACACATTTTATGAATAATTAAAAATGAAATACATACAATAATTGAGAAAAAGAGAAAAGAGAGGCATAGACTTGTTTGCAAATAAATAGATTAGAAATATATATCCATGCATGAAATAAAAATCAAGAACCAAAGAGATATCTTGGATAAATTAAGTACTAGACTCATTCATAATTTCTAAAAATAGCAATGCTTGGAACATCACCTGCTGAGTGTTTAGAAACTAAGTACTGCTTAAGGTTGAATACTGCTTGGATAGGAAACTGTCAGGTAATTCCAGAACTATATATTAAGTCAGAAGTAAAAAACAACAACAACATTCTGAAAGAAAGCAATGTGAAATTCCTTCTGTATTGTTTCTCCCCAAAATCTATACAGATTAATGCATCAAAAGTGAAGCACAATTTCAAGGAGACTTCACAAATTTTACTTTCATGATAAAACATCAAGGGTGCCCAGGCCATGTATGAGCTGGTGGGTGCTGCAATGCAGCAGAATCTCAGGGTAGCCAGGAAAACAGGACACAGAGTACATGTGAGCACAGGGAGGCTCAGGGAAGGAGGGTACTGATGGATGTGTGTCTGTGTGCCAGTGCAGGGAGGCCGGGGAGCGAGGGCACTGCGGGGTGGATAAGTCTGTGCAAGTGCAAAGATGTCTAGGGAAGAAGAGCAATGGTGGGCCCAAGCCAACAAAGGGAGAAGGAAGATACATGTGAGGAAAGGAAGGCGGGAAATAAAAAACTTACTCGAGCAACTTCTGACTTTCCCTGCCGGCTTCCCCATTGACTTTGCTTGAGGAAAGCCGGCAGAGAAGGCTGGCAATAATAATCACATGACCAAGGGATGCTGCTACTGGTATAAGTGTGAGCTGGTTGCCAAACCCCAAAGTTTGTTTATGTGACCAGGGAAGCACTGCAATAGCCAGAAGTTCAAGAAGCGGTTGAACCCTTTCACAGTGTCATAACTTCAAATAGTTGCTGAATGAATTGTCATAATCAAGTATATAAGAAACAATTTGTTATCTTTTATTTAAAAATCCAGGGAAGATAACAGGGAAGGTAAATAGGTCTGGGTTTCAATTCAACGTTTAACTAGCTATTTTCATTCAATACAAAGTTGCCAATATTTCATAGTGCATCAAACACACATAATTACCATCAGTTATATCATTCTTTTATTGTTCTAAAAATTGGAAAATGATTAATTTTGAAACAATGGGCGTAAAATTTCATGAAGTACCCTATTAAAGCAGAAAACTTCTTTTTCAAAAACCAGAATGGTCCATCTACTGCATTTTGTAAATGTATCAATCTTAGAACACAAAAGTGCAAAATATTGCTTCATACTGAAATCAGCTGCCTTATATTGTTCTTTAATATAAAATTATTGTGGTACAAAGCAACAATATAATGAAATGCTACATATAAACAAATTCAATTCAATTTTATCTATCACTGCCTTTTGTATTAATTAAAAATCCTCCTTGTACTAAAATTCTATAGTGACAGAGAACTAAAAAAGCACTTGGAAGTACCTAACAAGTACATTTTTAAATTTCTTATAATTTCTAATTGTAATATTTTTGATACTTTAATTGCTTTCTTGAAGTGCTAAAAGAAGATAAAAAGTCAAATATTTCAATAAGAAGGAACCAAAACAATGGAAATGTTGTTTGCTGAAAAGCTGATACATGATCAAAATGCTTTTGAAACCATTTTCATTCTGAAAGCAGTATTTCATAAAGCATTAAGAATTGCTACTTCAATGTTAAAATACTGTAGGGCTCACAACAGGGATTTCATGCGTAACATAATCCTTACTAATACAAGGTTCCTTACTAATGCATACCTATGGCTTAAAACAAAGGCAGGTATGTGGAGAACTAGTTAGAAGACCCATACATTGTATATATGCATTTATTCCTAATTTAAGACTGACTTCTAAAACATGCTTATATCATCTAAAATAATATTTAGAAAGAAAAAAGTGCTGCATTAAAACAATCTATAAAAAATTCATTCCCAGATTTAAAACCTAAGCAGAATAGCAAGCATTATCAAATTACAATTAAAGTTATAACTCTATGTAAGGTATAAGGAGGTGTTTCATGGGGAAAAAAACCTATATAGGACATTCATGTATAACCTTTAGTTCTGTCAAGTTATTTTTAGTAAAATATTACTATTTACAATTAAATCACTCAGCTATATCTTTTATTTAATATTTATTTTATAGTATTATTTACATTGATAAAGACCAGCATTCAGTAAGTGCTGTAAGTGGAACTTTCATTCACTTACCAGGCATGATCACATCTGGGAATCCTATTTTTCTTGTAATAGACACCCCTCTGTTAAAGATAATAGGATATTCTCTTCGAATTTGTTCCATTTCTCCACGGACAAGTTGAAGAGAAATTATAAGTCCTAAAAAAATGGAGCAAAATTAGATTCTTGCAATTCAATTTACTATGAAACAAATAAAAAAATACAATGGAGTATAATGATGTTAAAGACAACATAATACTACAACAGAATAGGAATTATTATATTTTTAACATCTGAGCAGCAAAAAATAATATAGGAGATTGTCTTCCTCAACACAGTGGAAACAGCAGCACAAAACAATTCTAGATGAATGTTTGTTCAGAGGAGAGGGGCAACTCCTGTAAATGGTAATGCCAATTGACAGGACACAAAGAGATTATCCTACACCATTTTATCAAGTGGAAAGACCTTTCTTCATTCTTATCAGAAGCACCTTCAAATTATAGACATAACATTCAATATTGAGCAAGAAAATAGATCATAGAAATATAGTATGTGTAAAAAGTATATAAAATAAATAGGATTAAAACCAAATGACTTTTGCCCACTATTGGTCACTTCCCATAAGTGGGAAAATGTTAGTTGGACAAAATGGTGTACAAATATCCAGGTTTGTACTCAGAAGCCAAGTGGTAACCAATACAGCTCTCAAAAGAACAGTATTATATTGGTGGTAATAATAATTATATAATGATATATATTAATATATATTAATGACACATTAATATATATTAACATTAATACATATTAATGATATGTATTTATAACTGATAAAACTATACAAAGATTATAAATAAAGAAGTATCAATTAAACTAGAATATACAATAGTGTAAAGTAGATAAAAACCTAAGCAGTTCTAATTATAAAAGAAATAATGGCATAGCAAAAGGAAAGTTATTTTAAAATGAAAATAATAAACCTGACCTATAAAAACTAAATATATGACTAATTAAATTGAATAAAATTAAGCCATATTCAATCTAAAAGTCAAACAGGCCTATCCTGAGGCAATCCACATGTTACAACTGACTAGTCAGAATCACAAAATCCTCTATTCCTCATAACTAAAAAGTTTAGGCCTAGATTTAAAGCCTAAAATTTTTTATGTCATCCAAAGAGTGTGAGGGTATGAACTATAAAACTCTGGGACTAAATCAATTCCAAAGTTGCTCTTAGAATAACAGGAACAGCAAAAGTGCTAAGGAGGCTGATTGAGTAGATTTTAAGTGTACATAACAATATAGATGAAGGAAGTTATACAGTGTCACAGCGCCCAAAAGCTCCCCCCACCAAAAAAATAAATAAATAAATTGTGGCACCTGGCTCTAATTGGTAACCAGTGCAGGGCTTTGAAGTGTATTAAAACATTTAAAACAACCTGAGCTTCAGTAATTTAAATCTGGACCAATGGAGGAGAGGGAGACATGTCAGTGAGATGTTTTAATAATCTAGATATGAAGTAACCAAAGCACATAAAGCAACATTGATTTATCAGGTGTCAAAACAGAATACATCAAATTTTATGCAGATGAAAATGACAAGCCCAGTTGTTTTCAGTAACTACCAACCAACCCAACATGTTGGAGAAAAGTTATTGACAAATTGGTCATTCTGCTGCTGTTGGAAACCCTGGAAGAAGCAGATTATCTGAAAGTTTTTCAGATTTCAGTGAAGGATTTAGTAGAGACAGGCTTAGTCCAGGTCCTTGGGAAGTACTTGATAAGTGAATAAAAATGCCAAGCCCAACCTAAACATATGGCTGACTGTGCAGCAACCATAAAAAAACGTTAAATTTTATGCTGGCTGACTCTCAATGACTGGGTGGCTCACTACAATCAAATAAAAAATTACAATAAAATAAAAGATGTCAAGTATGACTGGAATGGAAAGAAACAAATTTGTCCAGTCCAAACTTCATTGCAATACCTTGGCCGTATATAGTGTTGAGCAGTGATTCTATTTCCAATGGCATTTTTCCATATAGTCCATGTATGCTCTCCATATTCCCCTCCTTGTCAGAAAAATATGCAAATATGTTTGGAAAAGGAAGAAGGAACCTGGTAAGCAGGTACAGTACATTGCTTCCTCATTGATCATGCAACATCAACTTGAAGCCAGAAATATAAATCTCAGGTAAGAGGACTATTTCATGTCTGCTAACAATTTGCAATGCTGAAGGTGTTACTGGATTATTTTTCTTAAAAGCTTCTTTGTTTTTCAAAATCTCCAGCCTCTACACCCACATTTTTATAACAAGAAAAATAATTCCTTGAAGACTGTTCATGACCATAGCCTCTAAAATATGAACTATGTGGCAAATATAATGTTTTCATTACCAAAGAAAGTATGTATCTTCAAAAGAGCTAAAATAAAATGTTACCATAATTTGAACTGGGTGCTGTATATTTGGTGCTCGACTTGCGAATTATATTTTCATGGATCTGATGCCATTCATTCTCATTGTTGCACCTGAAAAGTAGAGTCAATGTTATTTGCCACTGCCAATGAAATTAAATATGCACATAATTACATAGAGAGGAAAATGAACTATTTACAACTGTAATGTGCAGCATTATAGAACAGAATCTTTTATAATTCAAATTGTGAATAACTAAGATGATGTATTTTCTTCCTATTTGAAAATTTAAAGGATGGTATCAGAGCTTAACATTCACGGATCATTATAAAGTGTGTGTGTGTGTGTGTGTGTTATTTATATATGTTATCTTATTGCAGCATGTTTGAGTCTATAGAATCAAAAATTGGAGTTCTTAACCTTCCTGTCAATCAAATCTTTATGGGAATGGCATTCCAGAGGGCGTTTGCTAAGACAGAAAAGGCTCTCTTTTGCGGTGCCACCAGATGGTATTCCTTTGTAAATGAAACCTGAAACATGTCTCTTCTGCCAGACCTAATGGCAGACTCGCATCTCACTTAAGAGATAAAGCTGAAATATCCACCTCAGCCTCTTCTGCCATGGTTTAAAAATTTATTTTTTCTTTCCCAGAACATGACAACTTCTTTACACTAACTCTATCTCCTGCCTTGTGTGTGGTAGCACTTATTACAATCATCTACCTTTTAGGAAGTGCTTCATATGGCATTCTCTGAAGCCATGGTATGTAAGGGAAACAGGGTAAAAATAAAACTATAGTGCGATCTTCTGGGACTGAGGTCTATGACTAGAAAAATCAGCCTTTTCTTTCCTCTCCTCTTTTTCAGAGATATACTAATCTTACAAAAGACAAATACAAGCAATCCACACTTAAGAAACACAAATGGCACTGGCAACTCCGTCACTAAACAATATCATACAAGACAACATGTGAGCAGGACAGACTTACAGCCTCACTTTCACTATAGCTGTTCAATAAATGAGGTGACCAGGAATTTTACTGCCAGTTTCTCCATTGACTCAAGCCAATTTTGAAGTAAACAAATGGCAATCACATTCACAAAATGTTGTTACATTCACAGATACTTACTGGTTGCAAACACCCAAATCTTGATCATTTAACCATGGGGGTGATGCAACAGACATAAGTACAAGAATTGGACATAAAATTATTTTTTCAGCACAGTTGTGACTTTTAATGGTTACTAAATAGGGCAGCTGTTATAAAAGGAGTATAGTAAAATCATGCTTTTAAAGCAATGAAAATATTTGTGGTGTTTAAGCAATCCCAAATAAATATTTAAAGGCAATGAAAATAAACATGTAGAGTTGTTCAAATTACAGATAGCGACTTGAAAGTACCTCTCATAAAACAACAAACAGAAACACAAGATTATGGTCAGAATACATGATGATATTGGACAGTTCCTGAATTATAGAAACCATTTCACTTGGAAAATAAAAATACTAAGCTTGTAAATTCCAGAGACAAAATATTTGTAAGTATATGCTGTCAAAGTAAGTAAAAATTATCCCTGACAATATTTTTAATTAAATTTGTTAAATATTTTCTATTTTATTCTGAGTCTGCTTGTTTCTTGGTCTTTTTTCCAGTTTTTGTAGTTTTTCCTTTTATTAAAGATGGGGAGCTCTAATCCTTAATTTCTTGATTATTTCCCCTCTCTAGAGAACTGCCTGCACTTTCCAAAAGAACAAAATGTCTTCTACCTGGAGTGATAAGGTTTTGAGAAAATCTGAATGGGAGAAAAGGAATGTATGTTAAAAAGCCTTTTTCCCTCATGAAGATGCTAAGTGTAATCTAATGCCAACAAATCCAGTATTAATTATGTATGTAAAGTAAAACCTCCTTGGAAATGACTTTGAAATGCAGAATTCAGCTCCCTGATGAAAACTTCAAAGCTTGCATAATCATTTGTGCTACTCTGATTCATCCCAGTAAAGGAAGTGGACCTATACAAATATGATTGCTTTTAATAAAAATTACAATATCTCATGTTGAACATGAAAGCACAGAAGCAAGTATTTCCCAGTGGTAACAGATATTCTGATCGTGATTTGAGCACAAGCAATACAGCGCAAAAATAATATACTTAGCAAAGTGAAAAAAAATTAAAACTAGACATTCATGAAGGTAGAGTGGGGAGTGACAAAATTGGCCCCAATATGATTACACAAAATTCTTCCCCCATATATTTGCATATAATATCAGGACATAACTATAATAGCATGAGCTTTGCTTTATGACCTGCCCAATGGAGTTTCATACAGAATTATTTTAAAATATGTAAGGTAAGTATTTGTAATGGGATGTGGAATGACCTAGGGAAACAAGGAGGAATTATGCTGCCCAAGAAATGATCAGACAAAAGGGGGAACAGCCCACAGCTGAAAAATGAGCAGAGAAAGAAACTTAGAAAGGATCCACCTTAATTTATCAGGTGGTAAAAAGAGATGGTGAGAGAATTGTATTTGAAGACTTGGAAGAATCTATTAATGTAGCCTTACAATTAAGTAAAATTAGCTCATCTTGCTTCTCCAATTTATACAACTACTCATCACACTAACTTTAAATGTGTCACTAAATGCTTCAACCAAATAAACTTACGTGTAAACTTTGAGAACAAAATCCTTTTCTTCTTTCAGTTCAGAAATTGATGGAATTACATCCAAGATACTCAATACAGCACAGCCATATGGACGACGGTAATAGAGGTGAGATGGACCCTTTCTCGAGTCATTTAACAACATACGTCCTAAAACAAACAGAAGAAAAGCTCTTTTGAATCAGGCTAAGACCTCATAGTCCAGTATTTTATTTCTTCTTCCAGCATGTTCCCTGTAAGTTTTTGAGAGGCATGCTGACCACAACTCTTAAGCCTGATAGCCATCTCATGAATTTTATCCAGCCATTTTTAAATAATATCAGTGACCATCAATTTATTTTTTGTATTAAATTCCATAGGATAATTATGTTAAATATTTTAATTTTTTTTCTCAATCAGTTTCCAATCAATTTTACTGGATTAATCTGGGTCCTGGTGTTTCAAGAGAAGGAGAATAGTGTCACAAACATTTTTTTCCAGGACATGCATGATTCGATCATATCTTCCTTAGGTGCTTTTCTTTCTATGCTAAGAGGTCCCAAAAGTTCTAGATAAAATATATTAGTGGAAGCAGATTAAAATTTGACAGTTCTATTTTTAATATCTTTCCTGACAATCTGAACATGACATTTGCCTTTTTCTTAGTTGCTGAACATTGAATAGTAACTTTATTGAGCTATCTGCTAAAACCCCAAGATCACCTTCCTTATTAGTTTGGATAAAATAGCCCAAAGTACATAAATCTATATGTAAATGTGATCAGTGACCCAATGCACACCACTTTAAACTTGCTTCAATTGAACTGTATTTGTCATTTCATTTACCATTTTTGTTGCACTTCAAAAAAACTTTCTAGAGCTGGATCATAAATTTTAGATTTCATTACCCTAAATAGTTTGATATCATCTACTGCTTACCCTGTCAACTTACTGCTTATTCCAAGACAAGTTGCCCATAAATCATAAAAGCACTCAGAGTAACTATACTTTCATTTTCTAAGAAAATTGACCATGTTTTTCTACACCTTGCAACTTTAGCCAATTAATAATTGATAAAGAGTGTATCTTCATATATCATGGTTATTAAGTTTATTTGAAAAATGATTGATGAGGCTAAAGGGTTTTTTTGATAATAAAAGTATACAGCTGACAGAATCATTTTTGTCCACTTTAAAAAATTATAGAAGATTGCTATGGAAGAATTTATTTTTGCAGAATTCATGCTGATTTACTTTTTTCATTGTTTACTCAGTAATTTTTTCTTTGAATAGTATTTCTACAACTTTCCTAGGATTGATCTTGGCAAATCTATAATTTTCAATATCTCCCCTGGAATCCTTTTTAAAACTGGTATCACATTGGCTACTTTCCAGCTCTCTACTGCTGAACTCAATTTTAGGGATAAGTTAAATATTCTTGCAGGGAAATCAACAATTTTACATCTGATACCTCAAGTCATCAAGATCCAAAAATTTTTTATATTTTACTTTTTCAAAATATTCCAGATTGTTCTATCAAATAGCTTCAATTTGCTCTGATTTCCTCCCCGAGAAACTCAATACAGGCTCAAGGATCTTTCTTTTACCTTCTACAATAAACAAAGTTGCAGAGAATTTATTCAATTTCTCTGCAATTTCCATATCCCTATGGGTTCTCCTTGTCTAATGAAGGCTTCTTTAAGTTGCAGAAAAATTCCCATCACTCCTGATCATGAGGCAATATTCTAGTGATAGAAAATAAGCAGTAACACAAAACTCTCCCATTTTAATTTATGCAAATTCAACATTAAAGTTATTTGAATTTTATAAAAATGGGTGTACTAATTACTGTACCATTTATGAATTAACATGATGCAATTACATCATTCTTTTCTATTATGAATGCCTGGCTGAAGCCACATAAACAGTTATCTTCCCTCTGCCGGCCTGCCTGCTTTTGCATTCATTCTCCTAGTTACCAATTATTTTCAATTAGATTTACACAAAACATATTTTTGAGTAGAAAGCTGCCACAGGATTCAAGCTGCTGAAAATTAAAATGCAATGCACAAAGATAATTCTCATGTGTTTTACTCAAGAGGAGATCCCGCTCTAAAGGAATTTGAGGCATACATACGCTTCACCCAAGCTGACCTTAAAACACTTGTAATCTTTTAAAATCATCCTCTCTCTTTTCACTGGGACAAATAACCAAGCCCCCCACCCCCCAAAAAGAAGGCCAACATCTTTAACAGGGATAAGGGGAAAAGACAGCCACTAATCTGGTACAGCTAAGCAAATTAAAAATTTCTGTTGGATTTCAAGCTCTTTGTCAACCACAATGGTCCCTTTTAATTTTCTGGCTATCCTTTAGAAAATAAGGACAGCTTATTAGAAAATGTTTTTCAGACTCTGTGGGCAGGCAGAAAGTCAGATAGAATGTGGATATAAATTTTAAAAAAACCACAACTAGTTCTAGGTAAAGCCAGCCACCCATCTCTTATTCAAACTCCTTGCAGAGAGAAGGGGGACCAATGTAATCCAGTGGTTTTTGTGTGTGTGTGTGAGAGAGAGATCTTATGATCCCCATCAAATTCATGTGGATCCCTAGATTTTACAGAAGTACAGTTAGAAAAACTAATGGCCTAACAATTTCCTTAGAACTTTTTTTTATTCAGGACCAAAATATTTAAATACTGAAATTAATGATACAATATTTGTATGAGATATTTGTTCCATTAGATACTGCTCAGTCTTCGGTTAAATATTTGCTCACAAATGTTTTGGGGAATATGATGTTTTTTTTAAGCTTTCAGCTCAACCTGAAAACCAGTAGGGCTGGTTAGTAATTACACTGAAGAGTCAGCTGCTTTAAATAAGGCCTGAACCTGAGCTCCACACTTTCCAAAACACCTTTTCCAAGTCTTTTTTCAAGGCACAGCAACCTTAAATAGCAGGGACTGAAAAAAATCAGGATAAGCCAAATATAATTCAGATAGCTGCTGCCAGAAACTATGTTATTATCCTTTCTAATAGATTGATTTATAAGCATAAAAATAACACATACAATATGTTGGAATAGATATACTACAATATCCTCCCATTCCATTAAAACATATAGCAAGTATGCTTATAATTCAGAAGTCTTTAGCAATTAGTAATAAAACGTAAGTGATCTTTTGTTATAGTCTGCAGCAGATAGAGAAACTATCACAACTTATACAATGGAGCATATCATATTTTATTCCTGTTGTTTAAACAAACAATACAAATGCTTTAATAAGGCACACAGTACCTATTCGGATTACATGGGCAACTATGTACAAATCTTTCTTCATATCTTTGCTGCCAAGGTCCTTATAAAATAGGAAAGATGCAAAAGAAAAAATAAATTAGCAACATTTCTAAGCTATATTTATATTTCAGAAAAGCAGCCTCTATGTTTCTTACAAAGTCCCACAAAAAGATATGAAAGACGAAGGGAAAAGAAAACAAAAATGAAAACAAAAATGCAGAAATTTCCAAATGATAACTCATTGCTCTAAACTTAAACAATTTCTGGAAATTGAAATTTTTCAATTTCTTTTTCAAAATAACATGGAAGTCTATACTTAACCATATATATTAGATCTAAACAGTTCAGTCTTAGTTTTCTATATGTAAAATGCATTTTTTCTAAAAATAGCAAAGAACATTATTAGTTTTAATATTTTATTTAAATTCATGTTTCTTCCAGAACATCTAAAAGTATAGTTCCTATACATATCTGCTTTCAACCTATATATTTTTATATCCTTTGAACTTATTATTTATTTATGAACTTATTTGTTATTTATCAAAGTTATATGCCTACCCATCTCACTTTACAAAGCAACATTGCAAAGCAATGCTATTATTTTGACATATAGCTAAAAGACAGTATAAAAGCTAACAATTAAACTATAATGAAAGTATAAATCATAAAACTCACAATCACAAATATTTTAGAAAGGAAGTCTGGACTTCCAGGGAAGAAAAGGCAAACTGAAGATTGTGCTGCTTAAAGTGGAGCCAATGACTGGGACAGAATGAAGACTCTAATTAGTCTCCAGAGAAGAGAACTTGAGATAGTTTGTGAGTGTTCCTAGACCACAAAGCAAGAGCTGGCATTTTTAAGGATGCTGGCTCATATTTCATTTAAGTATTTAAAACAATAATGTTCTACTAAGTTTATGCTATTATAAATTTAGAAAAGTTAATCACTTGCAAATGACCAACTGTGTCAGGAACAGGTCATCCTCAACTTATGATCATAAGGAAGCCTTGAATCTCAGTTGTAAGTAATGATGGTTGTAAGTCAAGGCACCCAAGTTTACAATATTTTTTGCAGCAGTTATGAAACAAACATGACAGTGGTTGAATCAATGCATTCCTATGGGTGGCGGGTTGTTTTTTTTGCCAGTAATTGATCTTTTCAGTTAGTTTTAACAGAATAACAGAATTGGAAGGGATATTAGAGGTCTTCTAGTCCAACCCCTTCCTGAGGCAGGAAACCCTATACCATTTCAGACAAATGGTTGTCCAATTTCTTCTTTAAAACTTCCAGGGTTGGAGCATTCAGAACTTCTAGAGGCAAGTTGTTCCATTGATTAATTGTTACAGAAAATGGTAAAAAAAAAGTTGTAAATTGCATCACCTGACCACAGCATGCTGCAGCCAGCCACAAGGCGAGCAGTTGCAAAGTACCTGCAATGCAGTCATATGTCTGTGGGGGGTGCTGCCATCAGATAATAAAACATATGAATTAATTGGTAAATTCAGCGTTAACCAACTTTTGTTTATATCTGAATCTAATCTTGGCTGAAAAGATGAAGGAGAGGAAAAATCTCACTTCAGAACACAGAACATAAAGCACTACTTACCGTAAAAAGTGTACACATCCTATCAATCTTCTCTGGATTCTTGGCCCCCCCATTCTTGTTCAACCTTACCAGAAATCTTTCACTGAAAGGAAACAAAGATTTGTCTATAATTATTACTTCATTTAATCCTATTCTAGTCAGAATTATTACATTTTATTTAATAATTTTTAAAACAAATTAATTTATTTAATACATTAAAATTTATTGAGAGCTTATATCATTGTATTTTGAAATCCTATTAGTTAGCAAGACTTTCTGAATAACACTTTTATGTACCTTCTGAACTTGCATTACTTAATGCCTTTTTGCATCTAATAAAATTCAGTGAATAATTTGAAAAATACTGGACATGGATTATTTTCATCATCATAAATATTTTAATATTGGTGGAAGAAATAGATTTTGGGGGGAATTTCTTAAAGGAGATGCAATAATTTATACAGGACAGAAGACTCAGACTCTTGCTAATGATGAATTACCCAAGTCCTGTGAGATACCAAATGGAACATGACACGGTTGTTCTCTGTCAACATTGCTGTTTATAAAATTTTACTGATCAGGTTAGCTATAGTTTTAGGTCTGTTTTTTATTATGCTTGAAACAGAACTGTTCGTTTTGTTTACTTGTAGAATTCTATTCAGTGACTATAATAAAGAATTAGTACTAGCAAATTAGTTGAGCACTTTTCTACTTCAGTAGAAGTATAACCCATGACATCAATTTTATAATGAAATATTTCAAAATTATATTTCATAATATATTAATAAAAAATATAAGTATTACATAAATGAGGATTTTAAATGAAAGTGTCAATATTGAGTCGTGGTGGCACAGTGGTAAGAACGCAGTATTGTGCTGACGGCCAGCAGTTCAATCCTGATTGGCTCAAAGTTGACTCAGCCTTTCATTCTTCCGAGGTCGGTAAAATGAGGACCTGAATTGTTGGGGACAATATGCTGACTCTATACACCATTTAGAGGGGTTTATAGAGTGAGTCAGCATATACTGAAACAGTATATAAGTCTGAGGGCTATTCCTATTGCTAATCTATATATTATAAAAAAGTAAAAATTGTCTTGATTTACCTGATCTGCTTCCCTTCTCGAACATCATATAAAAAAAAGAACACATCTGCATCCTCTCCAATAGTATTGTATGTGAAACTCTTTAAACTGAGAAAAAAATGGTGTGGCACTGGCAGACGGCATGCTTCTCCATGGCGTGGCCTCATCGTATCCACCTAATTTGAAAAAAATGAAATGAAAAGTGCTTTATTATATATGCAAGTATTCAATAGTTATGCAATTATTTATGGATTATGAATTATTCTCCCTTCTTTTAGAAACCTTAGGTTTTCTATTTAAATGCGCATCATGTGCATCACTCACTATAAATACGCATCATTGGAGATCAAGCAACGTGACAAAAAAACATTTGACTGTTTGATGAAAAAAATTGAGGATACAATTATTACTAAAACTACATTACAGTATTTATTATCAAAGTAAATTACATAAGTTCAGTATTCAATATTTGCTCCACATTAAATTTCACAACTGTAAATGTGAGCAAACCGCTGAATAAAGCAATTTTCTTTGGTCCATATTAGTTACTGCAGCCAAGAACGATCTTAACCATTTCTGAACTGTGGAATAAGTTGAAAAGAAAATGAGGTAGTACCCACGTTGATGAGAATAGATGAGTTATTTAAACATAAAGGGCAATGATCAGCTAGAGAAGAACTGAAAAGTCAGGAAAGCTTTATTTCTTATATTTTGCTATATATATAGTAGCAAGTAATCTATACATAATGATGAAATTATTATGCAAGTTTATTCAGTTATGTTGGCTTATATCTTATCCAGCTGATATCTAGAAAGTATGACAACCAGACAGAGACAATGGGTACTATTCTTCCTTTCTTCAATTTTTTTTCCCATCTCGTTGATCAAAGACTTATAGGCTCCATTCTTGATGATAACAGTGATGTTATTCTCTCCACTTAAGTAGACAGTTATCAGATTTAAATACTGCTACACAAGTGGGAAGGTAGAATATGATTAAAAAAATAAGAAAGCTTATGAAAATAATTACTAACAGTCTTTCTTTCGAAGTTAGAGGTTGCCACTAATGTTTCATAACTTTTTCATATCTTGAAATTTGACTGTATTGTGCTAAATACATTCTATGTAGTCTGTAACTCTATGCTGTCTGTAACAGCAAGGGAAAATACACACAATCCAAACATTTCATGGACACAGACATGTGTACAGTATCAGTATCACACTCTAATTGTCTCACCATACAATTTTCAAACTAATGCAAGCAGTTCTAAACAAAGATCAAGAAGAAAGTTGCTGCAAAAGAAAATAAACTAGTAGTTGTACACTGGCACTGTCAAGCAAAACCTTCTAATACCATTAAATGTACTACTATTCATGTGATGTTTAGAAAATGATGATTTTATAACTCAACTTACCTGTGATATGCTTTGTTGCACACTGTGCCTACTGGATAAATGCTGTAAAGATGATAGGAAAAACGTTATTTTTCTCAATACACTGCTTTGGTTCTTTACTTAAATAAGCAGAATTATTTTTACTCTTTAATATGTAATTATTTTGTTTGAACAGATTCAGTCAGTTAGCTATAGTGGTGAAACCTTTCAGTTACCCAAAAATATGGGGATGGGATGGTGGTGGAATTAGGTAATGACATACAACCAATTACCCAATCACAGGAGAAACTTTTAAGTTTACTTAGTATTACCTACATTGGGCAAAAAGGATTTTCTGATAACCAGCTTTGGCTAAAGTTATCCTCCACTTTTGGCCATTTATTTAACGATTGTTCAAAGTCATGTCAGCATTAAAGAACAGCACAACCAGTCCTCACACTTATGATCACTACAGCATCCCTGCAGTCACATGACCAAAAACCGTTCTTTGAAAATGCCATGTATTTATGACAATTGCAGTTTCCCAGGGTCATGTGATTATCATTTGGTTTGGCTGAACCCTGGCAAGACAGAATGGCTTCGGGTACATGGAACATGAAGATCTGGGACTTTGACATTTTTAACTCTGAATGGGTGGCATTACCTCAGTCCATAACTTGGAGGTTGTCCTGGACTTGTGACTTTTGTTCAAAGAGCAGGTGAAATTTGCAGCTAAATACACCTTGCAGAACTTCAGGTTATGAGCTAGTTGTGGCCTGGTTCAGAAGTCTCTGTGCTCAAGTCATTCAAGCCCGTTATCTCTTGGGACTACTGCAATGCGCTCTAAAGGGGACTACCTCTGAAGACCATTCGTATGCAAAATGAGGTAGTGTGGGCAGTCTCAGGGGTTCCTAAGGTGGTCCATGTTACACCACTGTCCCATGAGCTGCAATACCTGAGATTTGCTTCTGGGTGCAATTCAAGGTGTTGCTCGTTACCTATAAAGTCCTGTTTGGCATGGGTCCAGATTACTTGAGGAACCATTCTACGGGACAGGGCTACCCCACCCGTGCTGGTGGAGGAGGCATGCTACAGATCCCATCAGTCAAGGAATTCTGGCTGGCAGGGTCCAGAAGAAAGAGCCTTCTCTGTTAGGACCCTTTGAAACATCTTGCCTTCTGAAGAGAGATTGGTTCCCACTTTCCTGACCTTCCACAATTCTAGCCTCAACCAGTATAACAACATCAATGAAACAGATTTTTTTTCTTTTCAATAACTTGTTATGTCAGGCATGTTATGAATAAAATGCCTGCCTGTTTGGATCAAAGTCCCATAAGATCTTGATGCGTTCATTTTTCAAAACTTGCTCAATTTCATGGCCCCAGCAGTTTTTACTACATTTAATCCATCTTTTTAAGCTATGTTCCTCATGTTTAGCAAAAAAATTAGGAAAGAAATTGGATATAATTTTTTCTTGGAATTATTTGCTAGAACACATTGTGTTATAGAATAACAGCATTTGTGAAATTTTGCTATTATTTGTCAATTGTTTCACTTTTTTCACTACAAAGACAATATTTGCTGTGGTTTGTTCCATGATAAATTGTCTTCATGCAATTAGTAGGCCAAAATTGTATTTATCCTTCCTATTATTTTTAAAATAACTCAACGCAGCAAACATACTTGAGCTACTAAAATAAACCTCCAGTTTCTTTAACACTTCTGATCTTAAATTAACTCCACATAGGATTTTTATACCTTTCTTTTCTATATTCTTCAAGTACTGATCATGCATTGGCTTGTTCTTCCAATTAAAAAATTGGTTTTCAATTATTTCTTGTCTACATTTAGCCTTCCCTTTTGTTGTTTTCAAGACCTTTTCATGACTGATTCCTTGATAAAGGTAGTCATTCAGGCCATGTTTTTTTCACCCTTCAGCTTGTTTCACCTGTAGGAAGGAGTCTTCTGCCCACAGCAAATACAATCAATATCACTTTTTGGGTAAAAATCATTTTTTGGGTCCACTGTCATTAGTTTTCTTATCTTCCAATCCAAGTTCTCAAATTCCATATGGGTCCAGTCAACTATTGCTGCTACATATCGAATATTAGGGACTGAACAGATATTAATTACTTTAATGATGTTTCCACCATTTAGCTTTGATTTCAAAATTTCTTAAACTCATTTGGTACTGTATTTAGTAGAAATGTTTTGACTTGATCCTGTAATGAATTGAAGGCTTCCAAACTCTCAATTATTTCTAGTATTCTGGTGCTATTGCTTTTTGAAATCTTCATTATTAAGCTGTATTATATCAAGTTAAACACTTCTGCCTACCCTTATTAATATGGTTACACATGTCAATGCCAAATTTCATTCCAATATCTTTATTTAACTATTTTGTGCTTGTTAATAAAGAATCTAGTATAGCCTTTGTTTTTGCAAGTAACTTTAAATCATTCACATAAAGTAAATGCAAACTTTTTATTTGTTTTATGCCAATTTATATGCATGATTTCTCTTGTTCAGAATTGTTGTTAGTGGTGCCACTCATAGGTATAAAGCAGTTTCTCAGTCATAGCAATTTCAACACGTGTGGACTTCAACTGTCAAAATTTCCCAAACAGCATTCTGGGAAAGAGTAAAGGTGATAATGAGTCACCTTGGAAAATTAAAATATGTATTTACATAATTAAAATATGTATTTGTAAAATATGTTTTAACCCTCATCATTATAGTTTAAACTAATGTATTTGTTGCAAGCTCCTTTGAATATAAGATACAGAAAAATCTGAAATAGGATGTTTTGTATTCCTATTGTAATTTTATCCTCACAACAATTCTTTAAGTTAAATCAGAGAGGTTGATTGGCCAAAATCACTCATTTGAACAAGGATTTGAATCTAAATATTTCCAGTCCTAAATATACCATACTTGTCACAACTGCATAAATAATTTTTGTTTACACAAAATGTTCTTCCATAAACCCTTCTTCCCCATAAATAGTCTTACCATTTTGTATAGATCAGATACACTGATCTGATCAGAATCAACAATCTCAAAGTCCTTTCGTGGGACAAGATCCAAGCCCAAATGCCTATGAAGAAACAAACCAACAAACCCAGAATCAATTTTTAAAAATATCTCCAAGATGCATATTAGATCCTTTAAATGGATTCATATTTGAGAACAGCTTTCATTCATTTCAGCAATTTACTGTAAATTAAAGCACAGCAAAGATGCTTCCCATTCTTTATTTAAAATACTGTACATTCTAATAAAAGAGGTCAATTGCTCTATTTCATAATTAACACAATAATGAGAAAATTTCACTTAGAGTTGGACTAGAAAACCCTGAGCTTAAATTTCTATTTAGCCATTAAACTCTCCTCCTGTAATTGTTGGTTTATTTTTGATGTCTTCAAATCAGTCTTGATTACAAGTACATGGCAAGATTTCTGTATGGCAGTATTTACCAAATTGGTTTGCCATTGCCTTTTAACTATGGCTTAGAGGGAGTCACTGGCCCAATGTCGCTTATCTTCCAAAATTAGAACCCAGTTTCTTGGCTTCCAGCACTTCTTTAACCTTTACACAATCTTAAGAAAGAATCCTGAAAAAAAAACACCTCAAAATATCCATCTTTTGATTTTATTTAGTACCAGTAGAATAGAAACTTAGACAAGTTTTCCAGATTTTATTATTCCATTTAAGTAGAATAAAGTACTATGTCAGTTTCTTGACCTGGCCTACCTTTGAAGGCGTAATAAGCCCCTGAATATGTCACACATAGCCAGATATAGGGTAAGATGCACCCCCTGTGTCAAACAAACAAAATTCAAATTTGATTGTGTGGATGTAATTTTTTATTTTCAGCTGCCTCTATTTAGCAAGTTCACTAAACTGCTGAATAAACATTTATGGAGATTGGGGAGAATGAAAAAGGAAGCATTAATTGATTCCCTTTCCATGGGCAGATGGATAGTCCAACTATCCAAGTAAGAAAAAGTCTTAAAGCTGAATAATTTTTTAAAAAATCTACACTTTTAGGAATTCCATTTAGTTTTTCTAGTCAAGACATCTTGGTGTAGAAGTGGAATAAGTCTTGCAGAAATGTATACCATGACAGATTAAGAGTTAAAATATAAATCCCCAGACAAATAGCTGACATGGTCAAATTGTTTGATCATAAAGGCTGTCTGAATGTAGAATTTTCCCTTCTAAACCAGTGATCAGTTATCATATATGTACACACAGACACACTCACACATAAATATATACCCACATATACAGTAACATAGATATAGATATACCATACATAGATAAGTGGTCAGTTATCATATATATGTACACACAGACAAACACATACATAAATATATACACATATATACCATAGATAGATAATAGATATACCATATATAAGTATAGATATTGTATAGATATATTATATAATTATTGGGCATCATGTAGGGTTTTATTGGTAATAGCTAGCTCTGATTCACATCCAGAATCAAACTGGCAACAAGATAAGCTTGTGAAGCAGGAATTATTAATGGGCATGCCCATCACTGTTTTCTGGATAAGCTGAAGTTTCCAGTTGGTCTTCAAAAGCAGCCCTATATAAAATACACTGCAAATGTCAAACAGCAAGGTATTCAGGGTGTTACTAGGTTCCCCATCCAAACATGGAAAAACATTGATGCATTATAAAAAATGGAACACAATAAAACACAAATGTATGATTCCCTCTTGATTTCTTAATATATTTATGGATAAATTAATGAAGAATGCTTTCGATATCAATATAGATGTGTTCATCAGATACATAAACATGTTTGTTCTTTTTATGTGAATGATGCCAAATTGCTGAGAATTTGAACATTTACATCAAATATTAAATAAACTATATGGCACAATAAGATATACAGATCTGAAACTTAAAATATTAAAAGACCAAGTTTGTACTACAAGAAAAATGGAGGAAACAATTGTAAGTTATACTGTATATAAATAGGGAAAAATCAGTGCAAATGAATTTGTGTTATCTTGTAGAAAGCCTACCAAATATGGTAAAAGTGATGGAGAAATAGATACAAATGCTGACAGAAACATGGGGCTGGTGTGTAGTCTGTTATAAGGAACAAATATCTCCTGAAAGAAGTGAAAGTGGCTGTCTATAAGAGTATGCTTGTGTGCAAATAGGATTAAGATATGTCATGAGAAACATAAAAGTAAATTGAATATAGTGGAAATTGAGTTTTTAAAAAGTATGTATGGTAAAACAAAGATGGGGCAAGAATGAATGGCTACTGAATAACCATAACTAAAATAAGTGACAAATATGAAAGAAGTGTAGGTAGTCCTTGACTTACATTCATAATTGGGTCTGGCATGTCCATCACTAAGTGATGTGGTCATTAAGTGAGCCATGCCCAATTTTAAGAGTTCCTGTCTCTCTTCTCTGTTTTCTAGGCAGCATCTTTCCGCACATATTCCATCACAACTGTGATGGACGTAAGCATGAGGACTAATCATAAGTCACTTTTTCAGTGGCATCGTAACTTTGAACAGTTGTAATAAAATTGTAATAAATCAAGGACTATCTGTATATAATTTGGTCATATAAAGAATACGAATAAGACCTGAATCACTAAATATATTGAGATAATAAGAGACTGAGAAAAAAGGGAAGTAATAGATGAGTGTATTGAAAAAGTGGGGAATTTAAAGAGCAGAAAGTATAACGTATAGAAATGGTGAAGCCAAAAATGAAAAAAGAAAGCATGGAGATATGTGTTGAATGATGTCAGTGTAAACTATATTTACTATGAATTTTTTTTCTAGTCTCTAACTTCTGCCTTTTCTTTTGTTCACTTCTTCTCATTGTTTTTCTGTACTTTGAATAATATTGTTTATCCCAAAAGAGCATAGCATGGCAATATGTGAGCTATGTATAAGCTTCTGACTATTTTCAAATTTCACCACTATTACATTTATTTAAACAAAACTAGAACCATACTTACTCATTTCCCCAGTCCAATCGTACAGTGAGATGTCTCTTGACTTCTCGAACTTGATCCTGGGTCAAATGACCAGAAAGTAATTGTCTGCGAAGATCAATCAGTTCATTCATCACATGGCGTAGCTTGTAGAACAGATCTATCTTATGTTTCTGTGAACATTTTATTTTTTCAAAAGCAGAAAGGGAGAAAAAAAGATTGAGAACCCTGAAAATTTCCTTACGAAACCAGGAATGGCACAGTTTACATTTTAAACTTCAGAATGTGTGTTTGAAAACACAGGTAGTCCTCATATATCAACCACAACTGAGACTTGCAAGTCAATCATTAACAAAGTAATCACTAAATAAAACTACAATTGTGCTTACGATATTACTTCAGCTTTCTTCTGCTTTACAGATCTGTGAAGGTCATTAATACAATGATTGGTCAGTTATCTTTTTATCACCATTATAACTACAGTCACTGCCTGAAACAGTTGCTCAACAAGGAATATCTGTAGTATTGTGAAATTATTAGTTTCAGAAGTATGGCAGTACTTCAAACCAATTTCAATAAAATATTGACTGCAGAAGCAGATTAATATATCTTTATTTACTGAGCAGAGCTTTTCACATTACATTCTACATTCCAAAAGAACTGTGGTTGCCAAATGTGATGTCATTTAGCAATGGCAAACTCAGCAGTGCTAGCTGCCATAACCCCAGGACTGTGCAGGTCGATAAGTGACAACTTCATATGACTATGACAACAACTGAATGAGTGGCCATGGAAATTATTTCAGTGGCTCCTGGTTGTAAGGTCTGAGATATCTGCATCACTGAGTATAACTGCACTGCAAAAGTACATGAGAGAAGAATTAAGTTTATAGTACGTGTTTATTTCAAAGTCTGATCCAGTGCTTATGCTTCTTCCATCATGTTGCCTTTCATCACTGATGAGTGCCTTATTTTCCACTACTGAAAATCCTCAATTTATGACTGGTTGTTTAAAAATAATTCAAAATTAAGATGGCTGGAGAAAGGCTGCTTTACTGCCCCATAAAGCATTTCCAGCTGCTTTAAAATACAGTATAAAACATCCCCCCATCACCTGACTACATTTTAAACAGCTGACAACCAGCTCACATTTACAACATTTTCAGATTTATTTTTAAGCCAAATGGTTATCCAGCTTTGTGCAGCTTTTGTATCTGTCTTTATAGTTCTTCTGGATCTTGTGAAAAGAGAACAACATCATCTGAAACCTTAAGTGATTTAAATAGTGCCACTGATTTTTATTCCATCTTTTGCCCAGTCTAGTTTGTGAAATACTTCTTCAAGGCAGGCTGAGAAAAGGATAGGTGATATTGTATCATCTTGTCATACATCTTGTTCTATGTTGATTTCCACTTTAAGATCATTAAGGCAAATTGTTGCCAATGTTTTTTCATATATTGATTATAGTAAGTTTATCTAAGCAGTGTCTATGCCTTGGTTGAGCAATGCCTTAATTATTGCTTGCTGGAACACTGAATCAAACGCCTTTTTGGAGTCAATGAAAGCCATGAAGAGAGACATGTACTTGTACCTTTCAATTTGTTCAATGCTGGACAAACTGGATGTGATCCATTGTGCTGTAACTACTCTGAACCCTGCCTACTCCTTTGACTGTGCATCATTTAATTTTCTCAATATTCTTTTTGCAATTATCTTGGTGAAAACCTTTAGATGACTGGAAGAGGCTTATTGGACAATAGTTCTTTAAATCATCTTGGGCCCCTTGTTTATAAGAATCACTTTCACATTTTTCTATGCATCAGGTATTTTTTCTTCTCTAAAGCATCCTGAGTAGTTTCGCTAGTATCTTATGACCACCAGCTTTCAGCATTTCAACTGTAACACAGTTTTTCCTGAAACTTTGCCATTTTTCATTGATTTGATGGCACTTGATACCTCTTCCACTACTGTAGATATCTGGCATTTCCTCTTTTGTGGGTGCTGTTACTTTTGAGTAATCTTAATCTTTGTATAACTCTGAAAAAAAATTTCCCAATTACTTCTAACATTTCCTGTCTTGTTCTACCCGCACGTTTTCACGTTTTAGTGCAAAAACCTTCTTTATTGTATTTATAAGCTTGCATTTTTCTCTATTAATCCCTCTGTTTTCTTCAATTGCCTTTCTCTCCAGCTTCATGTTAAACCAGGGGTGTTAAATTCTCAGCCCGCAAGCCAGATGTGTCACGTGCTGGCCCTGCCTCCGCCCAGTTTAGTGAAGGGGAAAAAAGTCCCAATACATCATGTGACGCTGCTGTGACGATGCAAGTTTGACACCCCCGCATTAAATTGTTGTGTTTCTTCTTGTTTATTACCATTTATTGCCACTTTATTTGTAAGTGATTGCTAAGTGAGGTAATTGGTAAACAAGGAGTGGCTATTTTGTTAGATCTAGTCATATAAACCATCTATTGTGCAATCTTCTCTGTAATTAGGTGCCTTTAAGAGTATTGATTTGAAGATTCTTTAAGTCACATGATTTGATCTTGTTCTGTTACAGCTTTCTTTTGCTTTCAGATCAATGTATGATAATGTGATTTTGGAAAGTATTATTAAGGTTCTCAACATGCTGCTGAATTATATTCCTAAAATATGGTAACTTAAAAAGAATTCTGGCCTTGGGTTAGCATAAGAATAATTTTACAAGACTGGAAAGAAAGTCACTCTTTTATTTTTAAGGAATGGAACTAGGACATATATTTGATATTTATTCTTGAAAAATTCTATGCACTATGAGAATATGAAGCATTCTGTTGCTATATGTTTAAATTAATTAATTATATTTATAATTTATTTTTGTTCATTTTTATGTTATAGTAGTTCATTTGATTGTTATGCTATATATTCAACTTTTTTCACTGTATTATCACTATTCAATATATTTTTTCTTCTTTACTATTATAATAATAAAAATCAAAAATAACTCACTGAATTAAAGAGAAACTTCTTAACTGTGAGGACAATTAACCAGTGGAATAGCTTGCCTTTAGAAATTGCAGATGCTTCATCACTGGAAGTTTTTAAGAAAAGACTAGACAACCACCTATCTGAAATGGTATAGGGTCTCCTGCTTGAGCAAAAGGTTGGACTTGAAACCCTCCAAGGTCCCTTCAAGCTCTATTCTGATTGAAAATGATGTGTATCAAACCACAAAACAGAAATTAATAACTGTATTGTACTTGGCCAATTTTTTGAACACCCCCCCTTGTAGAGTAAAGAGATTATTTTCTTCCTGTGCTGCTTTTCCCCACAGCGCAGTGCTTCTACAAAAGATACTAATTGCAAGGCTTCCAGTTTGCAAGGCTTCAGCAGTGGCAGGAATCCGCGATCGTGTGCGGTTCCTGCTGCGCTCGCCGCTGGCATGCCCCCAATCCAGCTGGATTTGGGGGTTAATAGTCACCCCGTAGAGGTGACTGAAGACAGAGGAGGCCCAGCAGGGGTTCGGGGGGGATCGCAACCCCCCTCCTCAGCTGGCTAAACTCCTTTTTCCAAAGGCGGTGGAGTGGCGGTCAGCAATGGCCACCACAAAGAAACTTTCATCCGGATAAGACTGTGCAGGAGGAAGCTGAGAAAGTGAAAGTTTTTGGCTGAACCGGGATAACAAGTAACATCTAAATACCCTGGAAATTCAACTTTTTAAAAGATACATTGTTCCCTAAGAAGATCGTAAAAAGCGGCGGAAGAAAGTGAAAAAGGGAAAGTTTTTTTTTCCTCTCTCACTCTCCTTCCCTATGGAAATAGCAAAAGGAAATCAGAAAAACCCGTCTTGGCAACAGAAGGTAATTAAATTTGAAAATTAAAACCAAGGGGATAGTAAAGATTTCTGAACATTGGATCAAAAAATTAAAAAATTCTTTTTTTGCTATAAGTGGGAAGGGAGAGATAAAGAACCTATACTAAGATTTTGCTGGAGGAGACTGCTTGAAGCTTATAAGATCAGAGATAAACTGTAATAAGACTTCTAAAAAATACATTTTGGAACTTTGCAATTGATTCTACCCCAAGAAGAGAAAGTATAAAAAGAAGAAAGTGCCAAATGAAACAGTTTGTGTTGATTTGGGTTGCTTGGTGACTTTGGAAACTATTTCTTGAAAGACTAAAAACTTTTGGGTTGTTTAAAAAGAAACACCTCACAATGGCATTATCTGTTGAAGAATTGAAAATGGAATTTCAAAAGTTAAGAGAAGAGGAACAAGAAGGGAAGGGCTCTTCTGGATCTGTTTTCCACTTTTTGGAAATGGCGATTTCTACCTACCAGGAATTACAACAACAAGAAGGCTGGGATGAAGAAGAAACCATCTTTAATGAACAAATAACTTTAGTTGAGGAAGAAAAGGGAAAGAGGGGAAAGAGAATGGAGAATTCAAGACTTAAAAAAAACAACCAAAAAAGGGAAAAACAAGGTGAAAAATTGATACAATGTCAGAAAGCAACAGAAAAGAGGAATACAACAAAGAGGGGAGATTAAGAGGGTGGAGATTAAGAGATGTGGGGGGGTAAAAAGGCTAGATTGGACAAGAAAGGAAGGGAAAAAGGGAAGAGAAGTTACAAAGGCCTGAAACAAGATGTAAAAAAACCGATCTTTTTTAGAGACAAGGGGTAAAATACAATTTAAAAAGAGATTCTGCAAAAGCACACAAGATTGTATTGTAGTATTGTATTTGAAATAGAGTTAGAAAATTGGAATATTATATGATTTAATAAAATATTAAAGGGAATATGTAAAGTGTTTAAGATTTAATGATAGAGTTTAATTTGCTATGGATTATTGTTTCAACTATATTATAAATGTATTATTTTCTTATTTTAAAATGTATGTAGAATGTACTAAGCAGAATCAGAATGGAAATTAAATTTAGGTGAAAGATAGACCCCAGGAAGAGAAAGTTTAAAAAGAAGAAAGGGCTAAATGAAATAGCTTGTGTTCACAGAAGAGAGTGGAGACAAAGAGGGTGGAGATCAAGAGATGGGGGGTTAAAAAGACTAGGATTACAAAAGAGATTCTGCAAAAGTACATAAGATTGTATTGTTGTATCTTTACTTGAAACAATGTTAGAAAACTGGATCTTTATCTGATTTAACAAAATACCAAAAAATGCTTAAGATTTAATGATAAAGTTTAATATACTATGGATTATTGTTTCAATTATATTATAAATTTATTATTTTTCTATCTTAAAATGTAGTAGGTAGTTTTAGAATGTGCTAAGCAGAATCAGAATGAGAATTATATTTTAAGTGTTAAATTTAGGGGAAGATAGAAAGGCGTCATACTTCAATTAGTGATTACAGGAGAAATATTGTGTTAATGAGAAAAGAAAAATAGATGATTGAAACAGAACGGACAAAAGATATCAGTATAATGATCTAAATTGAGATGAAATAAATAAAATAGAATTAAGAGAATGAAAAGAGGGGAGAAGCCATATAGAAAATATAGTATGGTAAATAAGATATGAAATGGTATATAAAGTGAGCATGAACTTGATTTATGTCTGTACCAAAAGACGTAACCCGGGACTAGGCCGCTTTCCAAAAGAAAGTTTTATGTTTTTATGTTTTGTGTTTTGTTTGTGTATGTTTGTTTATTGAAAATTAATAAAATTCATTTTTTTTTAAAAAAGATACTAACTGCAAGTTAGTAAGTGCAGCTCTCTGACTTTTATTAGCCAGCTTGTAGCTACTGCTGTAACTGACAAGACTTTTATCACTTTCACACCTTCAGCTTTTGTTTGCCACCAAGCAGCTGGGGGTTGGAGTAGTGGGTAACTGAGTTAAGAAAACAGCTGCTGCTCATGCATTCCTTTCAATGTGTATTCTCCATTGTGTGCCTGTAACTGTCTTATAAACCCTTCCTCTCCGATGAATGTAAAACAAATATTAATTCCCTTCTTTCTAATTATCCCTGAGCTAGGGTGAGCATTCCAGAGAAGTGGATAAAAAAGAAACCTGAAGTGAAACCATAAGCAAGTTGTGGTCACATGATTTTCCAATTAGTGACCATATCATTAAGTGAATGAATTACTGGTCTCAATTGTGGTTACTAAACAAGGACTACCTGTGTTAATTATTCACTTTTGGTTTTGGCTCTCTTTTCATTTGTGTCCATAAACAAGTATTTATTAATATATCATTTGGGATAGTGTGATTTGGATTTTTCTGTACCCCAGCTTGACTGGCATATTATAAGACTTTTTGCCTTCTATAGCTTGAGAAAATACAAGTTCAGCAGATCTTTTACCTGCTCCTACATTTTGTTTACAACATTTTACAAGCAGTCCTCAACTTACAACAGTTCATTAAGTGACCATTCAGTTACAACAGCATTGAAAAAAGTGACTTATGACCACACTTACGACTGTTACAACATCCCCATGAACATGTGATCAAAATTCAGATGCAAAATTCAAATTCCAATTAACAGGGGTCCTGACAAGGATTTTTAACATATTCCTGCAATTGGCCAGAGTCCCATCATGCTTGAAAGCAGCCACAATTATCCCAGTTCCAAAGAAAGCAGTCATAAACAGCATGAATGACTATAGACCCATTGCACTGATATCTATAGTGATGAAGTGCTTTGAGAGACTGGTCCTACAACACCTCAGGTCCTGTCTCCCACCAAATTTCGATCAACACCCGTTTGCTTATAGAAGCAACAGGTCGACAGGGAATGCCATCGCCACTGCTCTACATATTGCACTGAAACACCTTAAGAAATCTGGGAATTATGTCAGAATGCTTTTTTTTTTACTATAGCTCGGCCTTTAATACCATCTTACCAGGCATCTCATTGGAAAGCTGACTGACCTGAATTTCCCTCCCCTCACTTATGACTGGATCAAAGACTACCTGACAGATCGTCCACAAACAGTAAGGGCTGGGTCCTTTACATCTTCCACCCTGAAGCTCAGCACAGGCTCCCCTCAGTGCTGTGTACTCAGCTGTACTCGCTGTATACACGTGACTGCATATCCTTTGATCCATCTAACATCATAATAAAGTTTGCAGGCGATACAATGGTGCTGGGTCTTATAACTGGAGAGGATGAATCAGCATACAGGGAAGAAGTCCAGAAGCTATCCACATGGTGTTCAAAAAACAGCCTACATCTAAACGCTAGCAAGACAAAGGAGATGGTGCTGGATTTCCAGAAGCAAAGAGAGGAACCTGCCCCATTGTATATCAAGGAGGGCCATGTGGAGAGGGTTTCCTCTTTTAAATTCTTGGGAGTGCTCATTTGTCAAGACCTCACTGGAAAAATAACCTGTCTCTGATGGTTACTTAGGTTAAACAGAGACTTCATTTCCTTAAAGTCCTGCAAAAAAATCAGGTGGAACAATGGCTGATGACTTCTTTCTATCGGTCCACGATAGAAAATGTCCTTATATACTGTATAGCAGTATGGTAGGCTGGTTTAACAGCCATGGACAGGAAGGCACTACAGAGTGATTAATTTGGCACAAGAAACCATTGGTTGCCCCCTAAAACCACTGGATAACACCGCCAGGACTCACTGTTTCAGCAGATTAAGGAAGATACTTCAGGATGATTCACACCCTGGCCAGTGTCTCTTTTCACTTTTACCATTGGGCAGAAGACACAGAAGTATAGCCAGCTGAACAAATACGTTTCAAAACAGCATCTACCCAGGGGCTGTCAGACTCCATACACAATATAGCACCACAAACAGATTAATATGATGAATTTCACTGTTGCCACTACAGTGTGTAATATGTATATACCATGATATAAGATCATACACCAGAGTAATATACATGTTGCACAGAATATGAAGTATATATGGAAACGTATGACTAGTTTTTTTCATAACTATGTGTATAAGGATTATTCTTTATATTATTCATGTTGTCTTGTATTTTTGTATGGACCACTCCAGTAGAGGCTAAACCAATTTTGTTGTATACATGATGTACAATGACAATAAAGGCTTTGAACTTTGAACTTTTGCTTTATTAAATCATTCAGGGAATTAAACATAATCCTGGACCTATTCAAGCTGGATTCTCAGGAACTAGTCTTTGAAATGTGTCATATGATCTCTAAATATCATACTTATTATCACCATTCTTCAGTCACACTGTATGAACTATTATACCCCTGTGAGCTACATGCTTTTGCTTACATACCACATATAACTGCTTCCAGAGGATAGCCCATTCCTGGAGAGTTGCTGTAACTTCAGTAATAACAGAATCTTCAAGTGGAACAATTGTTTCATACTGCCTGTAAAATGTATAAACGCCAGTGAAAAAAGGACTGCAGAATCATTTACTTCAATCTTCCCTTGAGACTATGTATTCATTGATATACAACAAACATCACCCAATATATTACACTTGCTTCATAATAGTGGAATGTTCCATTCTCAAATAATCTTCTGCCTATATGTAGTTTCGTTGTACAAAATTTTATGTTATGACAATTTTAGGTCTATCTTTTTACTGGAAGCGTGTAATGGGATGGAAGAATAACCTTGAGAAAAAGAGAAAGAGCAACAACCAAGGAAACAATGAGATAAATGGAATCTGAGTCCAAAACAGAAATGTAATTTGAGAAACCATTTCAGACTCGACTCTTTCTAGTTATCTTGCAGATAAAGGTGGAGGAGGAAGCATTCTCAAGTAAGCTGGACTCATGCCATGAAGGACTTTAAAGCTGATAACCAACACCTTGAAGTGGATCTGGAAGCAAACTGGCAACCAGTACAGCTTGCCGAACAGCAGTGTGATATGGGCCATTCTAAGGCCCCAAGGCCTGTGTGGTTGCGTTCTGTGCCAGTTGTAGCTTCCAAATATTCTTCAAGAGTAATTCCAAATAGAGCATCTTGCAACAGTCCAAATAACAGATTTGCAGGTTCCTGTAAATCTCAAAAAAGTAATTTCAGTCCTCTTTCAAAGTTGATTTTCTGGTCTGTTCTACCCAGTGATGCTGACAAACATTAATTGATACTCTGGTTAATATATATTACTAAAACTCTTATTCCTATAGCCTTTAACTGGGCAAAACAGTACAAAACATGGCAAAAACTTTTGAACCAAAATACCTTAAAAGAACTAACTTACACAATGTATCCAAAATCCAGGAGCCATGATTCTCACAGAATTTATATTTGATAAATTTTACAAAATATTTAATGACATTAGCATTGTCATAAAGTAATTTGTGATGTAATACAAAATGTTATAATGAATATCATTGAATGGGCTATTTTCAAGGCAGGTAATCTCTGAATGTATTTCCAACTTTTACTGCAAAGGCAATACATTAGAAGCTCTGTCACTGTTGAACGCTTTGAGACATCTGATAAGGAAATATCTCTAAAACAATGATACAACAAGGCATGGATTATCTAGGCATGGGTTATCTTAGTCTCATAGATATCACATAGCTGCAAAAAAAACCAGCATGCCTGTCAAATTTCCTGACAAGGTATCATTTTTATGAATAAGGACTAATCAGTGATCCTTAAGAAAGGTTTTTTTTTAACTATGTTCCTCATGTTTAGCAAAAAAATTAGGAAAGAAATTAGATGTAATTTTTTCTTGGAATTATTTAATAGAACACATATAGTGTTATAGAATAACAGCATTTGAGTTTGGCTAAAACTGTATTAAACATTACATGCAAAAGTAATTTAAATTAAGAATATATTAAATGTTAATGAATTACTATCTATTTGTCAGATATATCAATATCTTAATAATTAAAATGCATACTCACCCTCTGTTACTGACAAGAGCCTTTTTCAAATGAATGTAATTTACAGGAAAGATTCCCTGGAAGGAAAATGGATTATATTTATTTTAACAAGAAGAATTAAATGAACATTTTAATTGATGGACAGCAGAATTCAGTATTTATCAGCACATTTAAAGAAAATAGTTTCAGATTCCCTTTTCTTCTTCTTTTTTAATCTATTGTGTCTAAGTTTTGAGGTCTGATTACTTCTTTCTGTTTTCCTGTATTTTGAATTTTCCCAAAATGAAACGTGATACTTTTGTAAGGTTTTTATAAATGCAGTTTAACAGCCCTACTTAAGTAAACAGTTTGGTAAGTGCTGATAAATTAGAATATCTGACTGATTGAAATTGATTTATTCTGAATTACATGCAAATCTTATCAGTTTTCTGTACAATTACAGGTAATCCTTGACTTACAATCACAGTTCGGACCAGAATTTCAGTCACTAAGCGATATGCTTGTAAATGAACCATCATGTGACAAGACCTAATTTTACAACCATTTTTATCCTGATCATTAGGTGAATTAAGTGGCCGTTAAGTGAATCTAGCTTTTCAGAAACTGGGGCCTCGGAAAGTCGCAAATTGCGATCACATGATCAGAAGACACTGCAACCAATTTAAATGCAAAACAATTGCCAAGCATCCTAATTGTGATCATGTGATCATGGAGGTAATGCAATAGTCGTAACATCAAGGTTGGGTTGTAAGTCAATTTTTCCAAATTTTTGTAATTTTAGAACTGTTGTTAAACAATCATAAGCAAGGACTATCTGTATGGTATACGTATTTCTCATGTTTTGGCTCACAAAATAGTTACTAAAGTAAAGAGCTTTGGGTAAAACCAGCATTTGATTGTTCTTTGTCATGCTAGTAAAAACACACCAAAACTGACTGGCAGTCTATTTACCATTAGCAGTGAATGTTGCATATGTTACACATTAGGACTAAGGCTTGTAGTCGATTTGATTGACTATTTCAATTTTTACAATTGACTGCTCTTTTATAAGAGATTATTATTATAACTCTACAGAGAACTTACAAAAATATTAAATATTCTGCTGGATTTATTGGCAATACAGAAGACTGTTTCATTAGTTCAAGTCAACATTTACCAGCTTTGTAAGATTATTTGAAAAGATGCATTAAACTCAATACTGTGTTTGTTAAAAGCAGCATCTAAGCATACCTTTATGCTAGGTCTCTTTATTGAAATTCCTCTGTACCAACCTAAAATAAAATAAATTCAATTATATTAAAATATATTATTAAAACATGTTAATGTTTACAAATTGTGTTATTTTCAATAATTATGAGGGATACATACAGGGGTGGGATCCAACAGGGTTAACTACCAGTTCAGTGATTTACAAGGTTCGGTGATTTACGATGTGCTTCCCTGTATGCGCGCGCCTGTAAATCATCATTAGCTTGGTGCCTGGACAGCTGAGCAGCACTGCGGGTGGAGAAGCAGCCTTTGAAAAAGCACCTTTTTCCTGCTCTTTTAACTGCAGCTGTGCCTCGCACGGCAGCTGAAGTTGAAAAAGCAGGAAATAAAGGTCAGGTAGGTGGGGCGGGCAGGTGGGCAAAAACATCAGCAGACATAGAACCAGTTCTATGTCTGCTGCTCTTCAGAACCGGTTCTACAGAGATGGACAGAACCTGTAGAAACCCACCCCTGGGTTCATATGATATTCTAGCAATATGTCTAATTAGAGCTCTGAGCTCCAATTTTTATGTTGATAAGTGATTGTCCAATTGCTTTCAGAATAGTCAAATGGAAATTTGAAAAATCAATTTACTACATGGCGTTGTCTGAATTTCTCTTTTTAATGAAATAGGAATGTTAATAGGAACATCTCCCACCTATATTTATAGAATCACAGAGTTTCTGGTCACTGAAGGATCTCTTAAAGTACCTGTAACAAATGATATCTAACTTCAATTTGAAAATCTTCAGTAATGAAAATACATGACAGTCAGATTCACTGGCTTACAATTTGTACTCTCAGGAAGTTTGTTCTGACACTTAACCCAAATATACTTCCTTATAGTTTTAGCTCAATATTTTTGATTCTACCCTCTGCATTCTCTTTCCTGTATAATAATCCTGCACGGCAATTTTAAGAGTTATTATATTCTACATACCAGTAGCTACCTCTTTTGCAAACTTAACACATTTTTTCTATGTTTTTCTGATAGGATTTAGTTTCCAGAACTCTCACCTTTTGGAGCCTTGAATTGCTCCAGTTTGTCACTTTCCTTATTGATTTATGAGGCCCAGAAGTGAACACAGAATTCAAATTGGAGTTTGATCAGGAGAGAGTAGATTAAAAAAAATTCTTTCCATGGTCTATTGTTATTATACTACAAGGTCATTTTCTCTTTTGTTTTTCTTATCCAAATTCAAATAAGAAATTTACCCTATTACCGTATTTTTTTACTATAAGATGCACTCCCCGCCCCAAAGTGGGTGGAAATGTCTGTGCGTCTTATAGAGAGAATGTTGCCCAAGCCCCGCCCACCTGCTGGCCCCACCCTTTGGCCTCTGCCTCCCAGCAATTTGCCTCCTTGCAGCAGGTGGTTGGATCAGCCTCCTGGAATACTAACAACTAGCTTTTCCAGGCTGTGGGGATTGCCGCCATCCATTGCTGCCGCCTATCGCTACCTCCGCACATCCCGTTTTCGGCCTCTGCACATCCATTTTCATCCCATTCCAGGTGGCCGGGATTGCCGCACCAGTAAAGGCCAAAAATGGGGTGCATGGAGGCAGCAATAGGTGGAGGCGATCCCCGCAGCCTAGAACAGCTGATCGGCGGTATTCTGGGAGGCCAATCCAGCCGCCAATCAGCTGCTCGTACTAAATCAGGCTGTGCTCAAGTTGACCAGCAAGGAGGCAAATTGTTGGGAGGCAGAAGCAGGGATTTTTTTTTTCTTGTTTTCCTCCCCAAAAGCCAGGTGTGTCTTATAGTCCAGAGTGTCTTATAATCCAAAAAATATGGTAAATTCATCCTATTCATTTTGAGCCACTGCTCAAGCCTATCTACATGTTTTTAATCTTCCATTTTCATTTTAAACTACTTGTTGCCCTTCTGAGTTCTGTATCATTTGCAAACTTGGTAAATGTTCACGAACTCCAAATCACTGTTAAAATATTTCATTTGAATATAACTACCAAGAAATCACTGGAGTGGAAAAATCAATCTCCTGCTTCATTTCGGTTTCTTAAGCTATACAATCCAATTATGTTTTCTTTTAATTTTCCAATTTTGGCATTCCAGTCCCCAATCTCAAGCATTGTAAATTTGCACTTTCTGTCAATTTCTAATTAAATCTGATTATAAATAATGGTGATAAAATCATCAACTGCCTCTTTTCATTAGTAGTTGGAGCACAAACTTGAATGGCTGTCATATTACATAATTGTCCATGAAGTCTAATCAGTATTACTCATTCATTGATTGGACTATAGCCAAGCATTATTCTCGCTGTAACATTCATAATGCAAAAGCAAGACCATTTCATTCTTCTTTTGTCCTGAGTAATAAAACAGTATGATCTTCCAAATGAATATATCCAATCCCAATGCACCTCAATTCACTGATGCCTAAGATGTTAATGCCATTTCATTTCATCTTTCACTGTGTATCAGAGTGTCATATTTCTTACATTCCATGTTCCTACTGTAATTCTCTTTTTAGCTTTGGTTTTCTTTTCCTATAAAGGCAATATAAGCAACTAGACATCCCAAAGATTTTGATCTAGCTACTGTTAATACCAAATCCTAACCTAATTTGAAATTCATACTCTGAATTCACAACTACAATTTTCTCTCAAGTACATTTCAAACTGATCTATGTACAGTTGCTAAGAGTCAACACCAATTTGATGGCATATAATCACTTCATAGGATAAGAGCACAAGTGCACAGTTGCTACATAGAATATTAAAGCTACTTACCTACCTGCAAAGAAAATAGTAGACTTTGAAATACTTGAGATAAAAAGACACCTTAATGTTGTTGATTTGTCATATACAATATAGTCATTAAATTCTTTACGTATAACAAACAGTTATAACCCTGCCATTATACAGGTAATCCTCGAAGTATGACAAGCCATTTAATAAATGTTCAAAATTATGACAGAGCTCCAAAAATCTACATATAACCCCATTTCAAAGTTACAACACCTGCAACAGGCCTGTGGTTGTTTGCTGTTACAACCCACTACAGGGTCGCTGCAGCACCCTCCTGCCTCTCACCCCATCCCACTCTGCCAGAACTCCGCAGCGCTTGGGTCCTCTTGACATATTCATCACATCCCACTTACCTTCTGGAACTCTCCAGACCTCATGTGGAAGGAAAGCAAGCCAACATGTTTCTAGCAATGCAACCTCCATTTGATGGCTGCCCAAGAAATTACTTCATTTTGTTTCCTTACAGTAGAAAGTCTGCACAGTGATGCAGAAGTTTCTGAATGCTGCAGAAAGCTTCTGCAGCATTGCGCAGATTTCTGTAAGGCAGCAAAATGAAGCAGTTTGTCCCAGGTCTGTGCAGCAGCAATCTAAATGTGGCCACCATTTTGTCCCAAGCATTTAGGTTGCTGCAGCACAGCCCTGGAACAAACTGCTTCGTTTTGCTGCCTTACAGAGGTCTGCACAGAGCTACAGAAGATGTTGCAGGCCTTGTTGAAGCAGTTTATCCTTGGGCCACTTGGCAGCAACCCAAATGCAATCACCATTTTGTGACAGGATAAAATGGTGGCCGCACAAAAATGAAAGTCATTCCAGTGCTCTGGAAGACCTTTAAAAGGTAAATGAGGAGAAGGGTATTTGGCCTGTTGGGTGAGAATTAGGCCTAGGGCCTGTGAGGAGCTGGTGAGAGTGGGAAAAGGCTTGTTGGGACCCACAGTATGGGAAGTGGAGCATGGGACATCTTGGGGGAGGCTTTGGGAGGGCCAGAACACATGGATCTGTACTAGGCCTCCAATGGCCTCCCCCACCCAGGAAGCACGCCACATTTCATGACTGCTGAGTCACGTGATCAAAATAGACAGGTTAAATAGTGGTCATATCTTGAGGACGTTAGTGTTATATGCTGACAATTTTATTTATCATAACTTTTACTGAGTTACAATATTTTCAAGAAAGTTTTGAAATTAGCCACTGATATTAAATAATATGGACTATGTATTAGAATGCAACTCATTAAGAAATCTAAATATATTCCTGGTTATCATGAGAAAATCATCACAAGCCACCCTTGCCCTCCCTAAAATGAAGTTCCAATATTTATAGACAGATGATTAATAAATATGCTGACCCCTTTCTGACAGGATTACTAATAATGCTTCAATCTCTTATAGAAAGTGGGTCAGGTTAGATTTACTAAGTATTTGAATAATAATGGTTCACAAATGATTTATTAAAACATAGGTTTGCAAAATATAAAATACACTCCTTTTGGGGAATGTATAGACAACTTCAACATGATTGGCTTCCCAATGCCTAATAAAAAACAATGAACCTCAGTTTTAACAGAAATTCATTTTTTCTATCTTATTCATCTCCTCTTTACAAGACAAAAGGTGGCATGTGAATGAAAACAAGGGAAGGGGATATACCATTTATATTTCAGTGTATTTAATGTAGCATTGGCTACAGAAGAACACCCACAAGATACTATTATGATCACAGATTATTATTACTATCTGAATAAAGAGAAAAGATATCTGAATAAAGAGCAAGTTCATAAACCCCAGAAAAAATATTTTCAATATATCATACCTTCACATTTTTCCAAGATCTGAACAGTTTCTCCTAGTTCTAGAACTAAGCCTTGCTGCACATGTCCTTGGAAGCTGCATATAACTAGGGACACATAATATGTTAAAAGATTAGATGTTGAACAGTACATTAATATTTGATTTCATAAAACAGAAACAACATTCATATTAAAATATTTTATATTTATTCAAAAAAGTTAATATAAAATGCCAAAATATTAAAAAAGAAAAAAAGAAAAACACATTAAAAAGAATCTTTAAAAAAAGATTAAGATATACAGACATAACATCCTCCCTAATTGAATGCGGATTAATATAATACAGTCATGTTAATCTCCACCCCTTAGAAAACACACCAAAATAATTTTATATCAATAACAAATTAGTTAACAGGAATCAAAATGCTTTTTAGTAAAACATTACACACACAGACACACACATATATATTATTCCTCTTTAGAAAAATTCATTAACATAAAATCAGTAATGTCATTAGTTTAAAACAACCAAAGTTCAAGCAATAGTAGCCTAACTTAATATTATGAACTAATTCAAACAAAGCAAATAAAATTGTAAGAATAATTAAACTAGTAGGAAGCAATGTTTGCACTTGGACTCAAGTTAGAATTAGTCTGAAAAAGTAAACATATATGCTTGCATTATATGTGAACAATATTCAAAGAAAATGAATGTTCTTCTATTCTAGAATTCAATGGAGTTGTATATTCATATTCTGACATTTTTTAACTATTTCATTTTAATACAATTTTAGTTATCAAAGAAGACACACATCTTTTGCTTTATTACCATTAAATTTCATACTATATTAGTTTAACCCAATGAATTTTGTTAAATAATAGTTCATCATAATAATTTACTAAATTTATGTGCTTTTAAACTGCATAATGTGTTGGTTACCACTTTATACTTTTATTCTCTGCTTTTATTTTCAAAATCTTTCAGGAATTTGTGATTTTGTATTTATCTGTCATACATCTATAACACAGTTTCCAGACAATAGGAAAAAGCTTCAAAATAATAATTTGGCAGATACTTATATCAAGTCCTCAATTATTCATCTTGTAGCATAGCTCCTTTATTTGCAAGTAGTGTGTTTCATAAATTGGGATAAAATTGGTTAGTTCAAACTTTACTTTGTTCAAACATGGCAAGATCAAACAGTATTTATATCACTAGATAGCAATAGAAAAAAGAAAAATTCTATTATTATCTATACCTTATAGTTATGCTGTAAGATGTAAATATATAAACCAAAAATCACCTCCATAATAGTTGAAATTATTTATTACAACACACACCTATATCTAGATCTTAAATTCCAATATCCTGTCAACTTCAAATCTCCTTTCTGAACAAATCAATTTCCATAAAATTTAGGAACACAGATGCTGTCCAGATGTCTAATAGCTATTGCTAAAGGTGAGTGCTGCCTCTAAGAAACACATTTCTGATTTTTTGCCAAGTCTCCTCAATATTCCAATAGTTTCCACTTCATTTTACATGGAAGAAGTTGATCTAAACAGCACCAATCCAGATAATATTATCATATGCAGAACTGCCTGAAAATAATATTTAAAATTCAGGTACTTCTCAATTTATAATCATTTCTTTAGCAACCACTAGTGGTGTTTACAATAGAATTGAAAAAAGTGACTAATGACTGTTTTTCATACTCAGGACCAATGCAACATCCCCATGGTCACATGATCAAAATTCAGACACTTGGCAATTGATTCATATTTATGACAGTTGCAGTGTTCCATAGTCATGGGATCACTTTTTTGGTGACCTTTTGATAAGCAAGGTTTACACCAGCCCCAGCAATAAGGAAAGAATTGGGCATGCCCCCTACACAAAGCCATTTCGTAATTAAAGTTTTTAATTACCGGCTGAACATCCTATTCATGAACCCAAACAAACTACTCAAGCTTTGCTTCAAAGAGCAACTACACAACAAGCAACCTTGTGCTTAGACCACCCAACTTTCAAATGACATGTCTCAATATGGATTTTCCAACCACTTTGCAGTCCAATTAAATCTAAAGGCCAACAAACCTTTCAAACAAAGATTTATTAAAACAACTGCCCAAGATGATATTGGAGTGCTTAAATGTGTCAAGTCTCTGAAATGGCTGGCTCAAAAAAATCAGCCTTCCAGTTAGAAAAATATTTAACAACTTACATACATCAACATTTCAGAACAGCTTTTTCTGGATCTTGATTCAAACAACTGGACTCAATGGTAAGACATGGGAGGTTTCATGGAATCCCAACTAGAGTCCCAAGATTGTACATTTGGGGAACAGCAGCCTTTGAAGAGACTGGACACATTCTTGTTTACTGAAAATTGTACTCTACAGAAGGGCCTTATTTAAAAACTAAAAAAATATTTGGGGCATCCAGTTTTATTTATTGCAGGGAACAAACCTAAGTATCATCAATAAGACTGCACTTTTGATTTCAAAGGCCAAAAAGAGGACAATCTTGATCAGATTGGAGATAAGATAGGGGAGACAATCTATTATGAAGTTTTGTTTTCTTTTTATCTATTTGCACTTTTGTATTAATTATATATGTATATATATATATAATACAGTCAATTGATTTAATTAATAAAGTTTTCTTCTATTTTGCCTTATACTGTTTTATCTTACTCTTTCTAAACTACTGTACCTTATTCTATTTTATCTCACAATAATTTTATCTCGTTTCACTGTATCTTATCTCATATTACTGTACTTTACTATTATTGATGCTTATGTTTAATATGGTCAATTGATTAATCGATAAGTATATTGTGACATAACTATAATAGTGATCACATGACAGAGCAACACTGCAAAGGTCGTAAATACAAAAAGGCATTGATTATAAAGTTATTTTTTCAACACCATCGGAAATCTCAACTATCATTGAATAATGGTTGGTAAGAAAACTTTACCTGTAAATAAATTAGGAATTTGTGGATGGTTTTCAAACATCTTCTGAATTATTGTCCCCTCACCTTGGATGGTGATTCAATCTCAAATAAATATTCTCTCAATGACCTCACAGGATACCATAATTATTATTTCTGTTCCCAGGTATAATTAAAAACATTTATAAAATTGCTAAACAAAATAGATAATTTAACTGTATCCTTCCAGTTCCATTTCATAGCATACAATACTATGGAATATATTGTCTCCAATGGCTTATCTTTAGAAGAGCTGAATATAATATATATATATATATCGTAGATTTTCACAGGTACAGGTATGTAGGTCTAGGGTCTAGGTGTGTTCGGGTCTTTTCCTGTGTAAGATTAAGAGTATCTTGGCAACAGTTCAGCGAGGTCCCACTCACCATCCTCAGGCTGGTGCTTTCGGCTTCATGCCAGTACAAGCAGTGTATGATCAGAGCTCTCTTTAAAGCCCATTATACCAACATCAACTCTATCAACCCAGCAAAAGGCAGCAGCGCAGCCAACCAGCCCAGCACACCAGCCCCCCCCACCAGTACTTATAGAGAGACGGCAGCTCCGATCACACACTGCTTGCACTGGCACAAAGCCGAAAGCACCAGCCTGAGGATGGCAAGTGGGAGCTCGCCGAAATGTCGCCAAGATACTCTTAATCTTACACAGGAAAAGACCCGAACACACCAAGACCTACATACCTGTACCCGTGAAAATCTACGAATGAATGAATGAATGAATGAATGAATGAATGAATGAATTAATATATATATATATATATATGTTTTCTGAGGTTCTCGCGGGTATTTGTATGTGGATCTTTGGTTGTTCGGGTTTTCTCCCGCGTAAGATTCAAAGTATCTAGGCAACGTTTCGATGAAGTCTCATTCATCATCTTCAGGCTTCTGTCTTCGGCTCTTGCTTCTCAAAGTGATGTGAGATTGCAGCTGCTTCTTCCTTTTAACTGCTAGTGGGGGTGGGACTTGATTGGGTGGGGGCTTGGCTGTGTTCTGATTGGGTGGGGGTGTGTTCTCATTGGTAGGGGGTTTGGCTGTGTTCTGATTGGTTGGGGGGTTGGCCGTGTTCTGATTGGTTGGAGGCGTGTTCTGTTCAGGTGGGGGCTTGGTTGTGCTCAGGTTAGTCTTAGTTGCTGGGGGATTTGAGTTGGTGAGCTGTGATCTTGCTGTTTGGCTTCGAGTTCATGGTCGTGCTGCATCTTCATAGTGGGTGTTGGTTTGCTTCATGTATGGCTCGGAGGGGTTTGAAGTGGGTAGTGATGCAGCTGCAGTGCAGCTTCTGGTCCATGGTCGTGTCTCATCTTCTGAGTGGGTGTGAGTCTGTTTTCTACATGGAAGTGTGGTGGTGGCATCTTGTGTGGCTCTCATGGGTGTGGGTCTGGTGTCACCTGAAGTAAGGCCCCTGACAATCTCACATCACTTTGAGAAGCAAGAGCCGAAGACAGAAGCCTGAAGATGATGAATGAGACTTCATCGAAACGTTGCCTAGATACTTTGAATCTTACGCGGGAGAAAACCCGAACAACCAAAGATCCATATATATATATATATATATATATATATATATCTTAAGTTTTCGCGGGTACTTACATGTATGATATTCGGCTATGTTCGGGTATTTTCCCACGTCAGATGAACAAAGCCGAATACCATGTATGTATGTATGTATGTATGTATGTATGTCTGTATGTCTGTCTTTCGGCTTTGTTCGGGTATTTTCCCACGTCATTGTAGTTGTGCTTTTAAAGTTGTAGCAACTTTCAGCAGATGAGATTCTGCTGAAACGTCACTACAACTTTAAAAGCACAACTACAATGACGTGAGAAAATACCCGAACAAAGCCGAATGCCATACATGTAAGTACTCGCGAAAACTTAAGAAAATATATATATATATATATTCTTCACATATATTTCTATGTAGATGAACTAGATTCATTTTAAATGTGCTTTTCATTTACTTGCATAACGCAACGTAATTGCTAGTTGTACTGATTCATTTAATGAGAAATACTGTTATTTCTCTTTAGAGAAAAAAATAATAAATTCAACACATTGTACAGGATTTATACTGAAAACAAATTAAGAGCATAGTCTAACAATTCATATAAAGTTTGCAACAAGGTAAGTGCTCCCAGAATCAGTAGTTTTTGTCAGTCTTCTCTTTAGACTCAAATATTGGTGGAAAAGCATACAACCTAGCATTCCCCCACCCCAATAAATATTTTTGCCTGATATTGCACTACAATCAGCTCACGCATACTAAAGTCAGAATAGACAATATATTGCCTGCAATGACAGGCAAGAATCACCATATTTCCACAAACATATGCTTAATATATCTACTCTTTAGAGGAAGAATTAATGTACTGTACTGATTTTGAACACATGATCAAGATGTAATTAATAATTCTTACAAAATAGGCATTAAAAGTTGAGTTGTTTTAAAGAAAAATTAATGAAATGACATTAATTAATTAGTGGCTGTTATGGAGAAATATTTCCAAGAGTTGGCCAAATTAGATTTTCTGGTGCTATACAGAATTACTGAATATAGAATTTGAAATAGACCGATTCCTGTCATTTTCTTTGGAGAACTACATGAGATAGAAACTTGCAGCTTTCCAGGCAAATAACACCCCGGGAAGATGCGTGGGGGGGGGGGGGGGGGGCGCAATAGAGCTATTTCTTGATTTGCCTTCTACAATTGTTAATAAACAAAGAATTTAATCTCCATCATGAGAAATTGAGTCAAGGGATAAAGATTTTTTTTCTTTATGCTGCAATCTTTGGAAAGTGGGACGAGAAAATTTCATAATCTTGATTTTTCTGAGGGGGAGGGAATACTTTCAAATAAGTATTGGCTCCTGGTGACTGGTTAAACAAGTCCCTGCAGTTTTCTTGGCAAAATTTTGGAAGAGGTTTTTCATTGCCTGCTTCCTTGGGCTAAGAGAAAGCAAACTGACCAAAGATCACCCGGTTTGCTTTATGCGTAAGGAGAGATTACCATTGTCTTCTGATACCATAGTCTTTTGAGACTGAAGGATGCCAACATCAAAGAGAGATTAGAATTCATACTCTTCTGGTTGCTAACCTGTATCTTAACCAGTACATCAAATTGGCTCTCAATCCTGTCTATTATTTAAAATTAAGAATTGAAATTTAACTTGCAAAAGGAATACATCAGTACTCACAGTAAAAATGCCTCTATTAAGAGGACTATTTCTGTTATTCTTTTATGTCTGATTACAACATAGATGATGTTCCTTGCATTTAATTTTTAAACAGATTAGATTTTCAATATAGGAAAAAATAAGAATAAGACTGTAAATTTACCATATTTTAGTGTTATTTGAATATTTTTCTTTTTAATAATAATTTCATGATTTCTTATTTTACTTCTTGGTTTCATTTTTATAACTCTATTTTCTAAATACCAGTGTTAATTTTTTTCATTATTTTAAAGTGTATTCCGAAATTGGCCTAAATTAGGCCAATTGGGGTGTTTTATCTAAGCTTGTAATTTTGATATACTATATGAGGATACATTTATATTATTTTGAAGCAAAAGTCACATTAGCAGAAAGCTAATCCGACAAATACAGAGAAATGAAAAGGCAGCAAGTGGACCAGCTCTTTGAAACCTCTATGGGCAAAGAGAGAACTTGAAATTGCCTACAAGTGCTCCAGACAGTTGCTCCTCACAAAAAGACCATAAGATAGCAGTTTCTGGTTTAGAATTCTGGGAGACAAGGGAATATCTATCTTGCTCAAATCACAGTCAGCATTTTAAAAGGACACTAAGTTTGCATATTTCCTTTTCTATTCACTTTCAGAAGTTGCTTTGTTAATTGCTTTTCAGTTATTAAATACCTATCAACATGTTTGACAGCACTGAGTGAATTTCCCTCAATCCTTAGCAAAAGAAAGTTTAAACTAATAGTTTAAGAACATGAATAGAAAAAAAATGATTAAAACTTTTGACTGTGGAAGTTACAAATTGATTAAGGGTCCAGATAAATTTGAAATGAGATTTTGGAATTAATTATAAAGGAAAAAGAACTCATAAATTCCACTTACAGCTACAGAATGAAGCAAAAGGGGCATTGGTAAACTTACCAGAGAATGCCCTTCTATACATGCTGCTAGAGAGTCCAGCATTGGGATATGACTCCTCCCTCTGATGTCATCGAGCTGAGTCTGCCACTATAAAAAGCCAGCCTCCTCTGTTGGCCCTAGCTTTTCTAGTGAAGAAGCTTGACAGACGTAGAGTGTCTCTGGAATATAAAACAATTAAAAGAACCCCACCAACCAAGACCAGGCGACCCCAGGGTGGAGCTGAACTCTCTAGCAGCATGTATAGAAAGGGCGTTCTCTGATAAGTCTACCAATGCCCCTTTCTCCTCAATGCCACATCGAGAGTCCAGCATTGGGACATACCAAAGCTTGCATGTCGAAGGGAGGGCCATCGTCTGGTCCATTCAATCTGACACTGAAAGAACCTTCTGGAGTACCCTTCTCCCAAATGCTGCTTCTGCAGAGGTAAAGGAATCCAGCGGATAGTGCTGGATAAAAGAACCAGGCGACGCCCAGGTAGCCACTCTGAAAATCTCTTCCATAGGCACCTGGGTAGTCCAGGCCGCTTAGGTCGCTGCACTCCTAGTAAAATGCGCAGTGAGCTTGCTGAGAACAGGAATAGATAGGCAGTGGAAATACATGTCCTGATCCATCTATTCATCATGGGTGGAGAAGCCTTACTGCCCAAGGAAGCTGGTTGGAAGAATACAAACAACGCTTCCGTTTTGTGAAAAGTAGCAGTACGTTTGACATAAATACGGAGCATTCTCCGTACAACCAGCGTATGCCAGTTTTGTTCCAACTCATGTTGAGGTTTGGAGCAGAAATCTGGTAGGACTATGTCTTGAGCCCTGTGGAACCAAGAATTAATCTTTGGGACAAAGGAAGAGTCTAAATGGAGCACTACCTGGTTCTCATGAAAAATGCACAAACCTTGCCTCATGGAGAGGCGCCAACTCAGAAACCCTCCTGACCGATGTAATAGCCACCAGGAAGGCCACCTTGAGAGTCAAATGACCAAGTCCCACCGTTCTTAAGGGTTCAAATGGGAGATCCCAAATGGGATTCCTATGCACTACAGGGGGAATACAGATTTGAGGCTCCCTTCAAAAATCTGCGAACTGATGGATGGTGGGATAGGGAAGAATAGTTATCCCATGACAAGACAGAAGCCAAATCCACCACCTGTCAGTGGAGAGTGTTAGGCGACAGCTCCTTATCTAGACCATCCTGTAGGAACATCAACACATCTGGGACTGTATCAAATGTAGAGTCCCGGGCCATCTTAGAACACCAGCCACAAAACGTTTTCCAGATCGTATCGTAGATGCAGTTGGTTGATGGTTTACAAGATGCCTGAATGGTTTTAATCACCTTATCTGATAGATTGGACTCTTTCAAAGATTTCCACTCAATCGCCAATTGGAACTACTGGGAGTCCAGGTGAAGTAAGGCCCCTTGGCTGAGTGAAATCCTGTTGGCCGGTATTCTCTACGGTCTCTGGATCAACAGATTCACCAGGTCGGTGAATCAGGGCCTCCTGGGCCAATGAGGCACCAGAAGTAGTAGCTCCGCCTTCTCCTCCAATATCTTCCAAATTACTGCCAAAATGATAAGAAGAGGGGGGAAGGCATAGAGACCTGTGGTCACCTGCTCTGAAGAGCATTGGTCCCCTCCACTCCCTGGATAGGAAATTTGGTGAAGAATCTGCCTACCTGTGCATTCTGGGGGTGGCGAATAGATCTACCACCAGGGTTCCAAATATGCTGGACAGCTCCTGGAACAGGGATGAGGGAAGACACCACTCTGAATGGTCAACCTGTGTCCAACTCAACCAGTCAGCCTGGGAATTGTCAACCCCCAAGATATGGTCTGCTATAAGGGACAGGAGGTGCCTCTCTGCCCACCCCTCCAGACGCTCCACTTCCTGCATCAAGGCCTTGGACCGGGTCCCCCCGTCTGTTGACATGGGCCTTGGCAGCAATGTTGTCATGACCAATACATGGGACACTGCCACCCTGTCCTGGAAGTGCCGCAAGGCCAGGAAGATTGCCTCGAGCTCTAGCAGATTGATGGGGCGTGACCTGTCTATCTGGGACCAGAGACTCTGAGTGATCTCACCTTGCAGGTGAGCCCCCCAGCCGTAAAGGCTGGCATCTGTTGTGACCATGATTCTGGCTGGTTCCTTGAACAAAGGGTCCTTCCCCATGGCCTGGAACTACCACCACTGGAAGGAATGAATGACTTCTGGGGGGGAGCTTCCCCCTATGGATGAGTAGCTGGTTCCCACCCATTGAAATGGCAGCAGGAACCACTGTAGAGTGTGGGCATGAAGTCGAGCCCACGGCACTATGTTGATGCAAGAAATCATCATTCCAATTAGCTGGGGCAGAAGAGATAGAGGAATGGTGTGTAGCTGTCAAACCCAGAGTAGCAATGTGTTGAGACTCTATTGTCGCTCCAGGGAAAGAAAGACCTTGCAGCTGTGTCAATAATTGCACCAAGGTGTAGAAGACGGGTCGTCAGTAGAAGATGATTGATTGTGTGCCTGCAAGAGCTGCACTGGGGTCTGAAAGTCATGGTTGGCTAACAGGACAGAGGTAGACTGGATCAGAATGTTGTCCAGGTAGCATTGGACCCTCACTGGTAGAGCTCTAGGAGACACTACCAATGCTGCCAGGACCTTGGTAAAGACCCTGGGGGCCGATGATAGGCCAAACGGAAGGGCCCAGTACTGGTAGTGCATGCTGTTGTAACAGAAGCACAGGAACTGGCGATGAAGGGGCCAGATTGGAATATGTAGGTATGCCTCCATGTGTGCTATGGATGAGAGGAGATCGCTCTCCTGAACGCTCTGCAGAATAGAGTGCAGGGTCTGCATCTTGGAGCGCCTGTAGGGAATGAACTTGTTCAAGGACTTGAGGTCGAGAATTCCTCTCCACCACCACCCGAGGCCTTTGGAATTACAAAGAGGCGGGAGCTAAATCCCAGCCCCTGTTGATCCACCGGAACTTGTTGTAGGGCTCTGATATCCACCAGGTGCTAGATAGCCAATTCCATAAGATTCTGTTTGGACCTGTCCCGAGAAATTGGACAGCAAACAAAAAACCTTGGAGGGGGGGGGGCGAGGAACTCAAGTTGAAGACCCGATGTTACAATCCTGAGAACCCAGGTGTCCGATGTTGACTCCTCCCATCTTGAGGTGAAGAAGGCCAGACGACCTCCAATGGGAGGGGAGGGGATGCAGTCATTTACAGTGTCAGAATGAACAACCTCGCCCTCCTCGAAAGGGTTCTTCCCAAAGAATTGCTGCTGCCTGCCAGCCCAATCAGGATGTTGTTCCTGGAAAGGAGGGAATGTTCTTTGGCCCCGAGGGAACCAAGGACTGGTATCAGGTCGGAAGGAGGGAGGCTGGGAATACGGCGTCTTCCGGAATTCCAATCGTTTGCTTGCAGATGACAGTATCTTCCTTTTATCCCTGGTCTCCACCAGGTAATGTTCCAGGGCCGCTCCAAACAGATTCTCCCCCGAGCAGGGAGCAGATGCCAGCTTCCACTTGCAATGTGAGTCTGTCTGCCAATTGCATAGCCATAGTAGGCGTCTCTCTGCCACTGAGGTTGCCATTGCCTTTGGTGCAAATCTAGCAGAGTTTAATGTGGCGTCAGCTGTACTCTGCTGCAGCGATGATTTTGTTCAGGTCTTGGTGAGACCTGGAATCGCTGCTTGGCAAATGATCCTGCAGCTGGTGGAGCCAGTGAAGGGAAGACCTCATAAAGAAAGAGGCTACGGTGGAGGCCCACACCAGCCAAGCTGTAGCTTTATGCGTGTGTTTGAGAGTATGTTCAGACCTCTTGCCATCAAGTTTGAGGACATCCTCCGGTTCAGTTGGAGTCCCGGAGGAGAAGGTGACTACCACCAGAGCATCTATCATTGGCACTAATAGGGCATTGGCCAGGGAAGGGCTCACATTGTAGAATCACTTATCCTGGGATGATGGGTGAGGCCCTGACACTGGGGAAGCACATTGATCCCTCACCAGATCTAGGAACAATAAAGGTGATGGGAGCACCTCAGTCTGGATAACCGGTTTGGAAAATAAAGAGTCCCCTTGGACCATAGGTTACACTTGCAGCGCTGGTGCCACCTCCTCGGGCCCCAGTTGTGCAGTGACTAAAGCCTTATGTAGAAGGGGCTTAAATAAAGGTCTGAAACAGCTGCAGAAGTGGGTTGCTCAGATCTGGATCCCCCATCTTCTGAAAGGTTGGATTCCCTGAGCTCACCTTCCTCCTCCTCTGAAATGTTCTGAGAGGTACAGAGAGCTCCTGTCTTCATATTCCCCCCATTCAGGATGATTAACAGGGAAATTGTGCTCATGGGGCCTAGAAAATTCCTGCTGGGCAGGAGGAATAACCTGACAGAAGGGTGGGAGGAAACTTTGACCTCCCACCTGTCTGGCGAAGGAGTTGCTGAAATCCCTCAGCAATGCCCTACTTAACTGCCACTGAGACCATGTTCTTAAGATCTTCAGGCCTGCTGCCTAAGGAAGGATCCATTGGGTGAAGACCAGCAGCTGTGGGGGTAAAAGTGGCCTCCGCCCTGGCCCAATGTCCTTGGGTCAAAAACCCCTGAGGATTGGGGTTATAAGCCACCCAGTCAGCTTGCCTGAAACTACTCAGGTCCTGGAGCAAGGAGGCCTCATCTGGTCTCTCAGGAGACAAGTTTGCAGGTGAGTGGCAGAACTATTTTCTATCCCTGCAGCTCTAAGTACAGGGGCAGGCCTGTGCCTCTCCTGGCTGAATTAGGCCTTGTCTCAGTTGTTCCAAATTCTTGGCAAACTGCTTCTCCAATGCAGCATGCCTCCTTTTTTCAGCTCCCAGTTCAGACGTTGAGGCCTTCTTAGGAGCCAGGGCCTTGGCCCTGATTTTTGCGGCAGCCTCCCTGTTAGCTGAATGGACTCTTTGTTTTCTTCTCTTGAAAGACCACCTTGCAACTTCAGAGCCCTGGGATTCAACCAGGCTCAATGGTCCAGCTAGGGCCCAATTACTCTCCATGCTGCTAGATATGACACTGGAGGTGCTGTCAGCTGCTCACAAGGTGTGTTGCCCTAGACATGGGCCAGATGTTTGGGATCCCTGTTCTGAGTCCTCAAGAAAATGGCACCTGAAACTTTTGATTCCCAAAATGGCCGACTGCCACGTGCACAGAGGCTGATAGAAAACCCTACTCAGGGTGGTCTACAGACCTGGCAAGGTAATTCTGGGTTTGGTTCCTTTGCTTCCAGCCCTTTGTGAAGTGCTAGGCAGGAAGGCCCCGAAAAACAGCTGAGAGACGCTGATTGACAGACGGGCTGTGCACTAATGGAGGACAGTGTGGGAGGCTCACCCGGCCTCGTGGCATCTAAATAGCCAATTCTAGGCTGCACGTTAATGGATGGATGTTTGGGAGGCTCAGTCAAGCTCTCCCAGCTCTGCAGCCTCCAATACTGTTCAGCGTGACGAAAAGGGGCTTTGTGGGAGGCTCAGCCGAGCTCTCCCAGCCCGAACTCACAGTTGTGGTCATCAGAGGCTTTTCGTCAATCCAATGAAGAGGGAGAATGGATCCCCACCCTCCTGAAGGCGCAGCTCTATCGGGTCCCCAGGAGCTGCACTGTTCTTCTGCTTGATGGAAATTTGCTTTGCTCATAGAACTAAGTTGCTTTAACTGGCACTAATTCCAGAGACACCAGCTCTGATTGGATCAAGAAGTTGAGTCAAAAAGCTGGGGCCAACAGCAGAGGCTAGCTTTTTATAGTGGCAGACTCAGCTCGATGACATCAGAAGGAGGAGTCATATCACAATGCTGGACTCTCAACACAGTGTGGAAGAGAATATTCTAATATTGGACATATTGAAGAATATTTTTTTAAATGGGTTTAGAAAGTAATAGAATCAATAGAGACATCTGCATCAATGGTGAGACTATATGTAATCTAAAAGAAGTTATAAAAGAGGAACAAGTTTACCTGACAAGATCAAACCTGAGTTGGGAGTGGATTTACAAATGACTGGCTACCAGAGTACATAGAAAAACATCTTACACTAGACATAAAAAGAAACCAGGTGTTTTTTTTTTAATAATTAAAGGGATATACAAATAAAAAACCAAGAAAGTAGCCTGGATAGTTTTCTTATATTATTAGATTTACAAAAGAAACATTAAAATTTTGAAAAATTTTGTGAAAAGAGCAAAGAAAAAGAAAAATTAAGCCTTATGAAATTATTTGAATGGACTAAATATTAAAATTATTAAATATAAAGGGAAAGTTGCTTTATTGGATCAAAGTTAAAATAGTTACGTTGTTATTTCTGATAACCCGAATGGACTTTTTTTGACATCAGGATTGAAATGGCAATTCCATATGGATTTGTCTATACATAAGAAAAGGCATATGGAAAAAAATTGTATTTTAAGAGGAAGTGATAATTTATTAAAATTGTTTATACTTGTGTTGAAGATGGGAAATCACTTCATCATTTATTTTTTCTTTATTATACTGTTTATTTTGTATTTCTCTATTTTTTTCCTTTTCTTGTTGCATCTTCTTTCTTTTTATTCTTTTTTTTACTTTGTATTAGATTTGACTGTTAAAATTATAATCTTTAATAAAATTATTATACAAAAAAAGAATAAGTATATTTGAATACTATTTTGTTGTTCTGGATTCATGTTAGGTCCTTCTGGTATAAAACTATATTAATGTTTTTGTTCAATCATTATTTGTATCATAGAATCTCACAGCACCGAGCAGTTTAGATAAAGACAAAACTTTGCATAAGGGACTTTTTTTTTACAAATTGAAGATGCTGAAGCCTGAAATAGATATTCTGCAAAAACCCTGATGGAAAACATTTATTTACAGGGAATTGGATTGATCATATTCATATTTATCAAAATAGGAATTTCAATGGAAATTCAGTTCTGATCCCCGTCCTCTGGAATATTCAGATGTGAGGCCTGCCCCCACATTCCTGGCCTTCCAGAAGAGCCTAAAAACTTGGCTGGGCTGGGTTCTCAACAGAGATCTGCTACATTGGGGGGATGGCTGATCAGGAAGATAAGATTCCCACCCCCAGGTTCACCATCATCTTGGTTCTTTTGTATTCACTTTTTTTTAATTAGAATTGTTTTTTAACTTTTTAACTTTTCATTATATTGTAAGCCACCCAGAGTCACTGTATCATTGATATGTGCAGCATAGAAATTTAATAAATAAAAATAAATAAAATGTTGGATGTTATAAATTGTCATACTTGGATAACTGAACCAAAGATAAACCATACATTTTGTTTGTTTGTTTATTGCTAATCTTTTTAGACAGACCTTACGGGTTGGAGATTTTAGTTAAAAAATAAATTTGTCAATCAACTGAAATTAAGTTTGAAGGAAAAATTGTTTACAGAGATGGAAAATTATACATGCTTATATCAGATTTAATTTACACTTGTTTAAACAAAAAGCCATTGATGCAGAACAAATGAACTTTTTAAAATATTTTCATCAAATTGATAAGTCAGATATTAAGTTTTAATGGAATGGTTAAACTCCAAGGTTCTCTCTTTCAGAATGTGGAAGTTTACTTTTGCTTATTTTCAGTTACATTTTCAGGCACATTTATGACTCTTGTTTTTTTTTTTTTAAATGAAAATTATATTGAGCATGAACCACTAGAAGCCCATCTGGAGAACTATAATTTGGCATCTTAAAATCTTGGCCAGTTCTTGCATTTAGTATAGTCAAAACATTGTTGTATTTCCAGCCCTGAAGGCAGTCGGATATGTTTGGACAATATTGAAAAAATTAAAATTTGATCCCTATTTTCATGAAAAACTGTTCCTTTGGGGGGAAAAAACCTGTATTTTAAATGGCAATCCCCTCCCTTCCAAGCATGGCCAGAAAATTAGATAGTAAGCTTTAATAAAGCATTAATTTGCGTGACTTACAAAAGGTTATCTATTTACATTTTTAATATCTTGGATTTGAACCAGTTGCACTGAAAATCCTAGTTTTACAATGTCACTTTTTTACTTTTTTTAGAGATTAATCCAACTATTCAGTTTCATCAACAATGAAAGAATTTTAATAAAATAAATCCATTTTCAACTAACCAGAACAGGTAATTGGGTTTGTCTATTTTGCCAGATCAAAGTTTCCATGTTTTTAACAAATAATATATTTCTTTTGATCTTACAATGCGACTAATTTTTTTAAAAAATAGGTTTAATAAATACATCAACAGTGCTACAAAGAATTTTCTTTTGCATATAAAATAAATTTGTGTGCTGGTCAACATGTATATTCCAAATACTTAAAATGTATCTATGAAAATTTTTTTATCTATAATGCCTCAATTGTTTCTAAAAAGACTACCATGCATTCGTAGAAAGATATTCATGTATCAAGTATCAAAAACTGGCTTCACAAGGTGTGTCAACTTGCAGTCTTTGATTGGTTTTTATTGGTGTAAAGAAAAGACTAAAGAACAGTCATGTGGTTGAAGTTTATCCTATAATAATTTTCACTTAGTTGTAACATTTCTGTGATCTATTCTTTTGTAGGAAAAGAGCCTTTTGTCTTTGCTATTTAAGTTTGCATTCATCCCTTGTTCTTTGTAAAAATATATTTTACAAACAATTAGAAAGGCCTCAAACAATTTGGGACAATGATATCTGTCAGAATGTTTTCCCCATTATCAATCTAATCACAGAGTTAGGAGAGATTCTGCTATGTATGCTGGGAATGGCTAGTATCATCTTGCAGCTGTTTGCAGATGGACTTTCCCCATGATTATTTCAAATCTTTTGGCATTCTCTCCCCATCAAGTTTGGGAACATCTGCTATAATTTCATCTGAGTTTCTGTTGAAAGCTTTCTGTTCACATAGGCCATTCCAATA